AAAAAAAAAATAGCTTCCCCAAAGTAATGACGCAGTGAAGTCCTGAGCATTATGACCATACAGACTCTAGCTTCTTTGCTTCTGCAATTTGTGCCTCCATATTTTTGCTTTAGTCCATCCTTGTGCCCTTTGCCAATATTATCCGTCCTGCAACATCAGTCTAATCTCCCCTACTGGAGCCTTTTTTCTGCTGACAGATTCAGAGGTCAGAACACTAATTCTAGTCTAATGTCTAAAGTTGTCATTAATACAAAAAAAACAAAAACAAACAAATAAAAAAAAACAGAAAATTAATAAATATAAATATTGGTGATCAGAAGGATTATTTCAAAGATAATTTGTAAGGCCAATGGAAACTGTTGGTGCCAAAACATAAACACCCAGACAGAAAGAATCATTTAGGTGATAGTTTTTTTAAGCTTTCTTTAAATTTTCTTCCTATAAAGGCAAATCATATAAACAAAACCTTAATTTCATCTTATTGCCCTTTATATAGAAACTTTCACATAAAAAGGTACTATATGCAGTAAATACTTTAAACAGACTTGTCATCAAATTATGTTTGACAGTATATCTACGTTGTAGTCAAACAAATGTTTAAAAATCTAAATGTCCAGTCAGTCAGTGGTTTGTTTTTATCAACAATAATAGAGCAGAGTGCCACTTACAGTAAAAATAAATTGATAATTTTTTAAAATCTTCAATTCAACAATACAGCTTACAGCTGAGACCCACTGAAAAATCTGACATTTATGTTGGGCATTGCTTACACAATTAAAAAAGGAATTATGATACAATCCAATGTGTAACTGTATTTGGACTCAAAATGTCCAACTCTGTGGAAAAATAAAGTGCTTGAAAATCTTACCTTCTCTGCTAAGCATCCCATTGTCTATTTGCTATCATTTCCCCCTATAGTATAGAAAATATAAGCTATTCTTTAAAATGGATTCTTGATGGGTCTTTGAAATAACACAAAAACCTAACAGTTTTATCATGAATTTATACACTGGATTTGATTTGTGACCTGCTTTTACTTTGAACTATACTTTGTGTTGTTCTAAAAGTACCATTATGTTAAAGGAACCTTATAACTTGTTTCTTTACACTCCAGTTTGGGGGAATCAGTGCTTCATTCTAGGAAGGCTTTAGATGGTTTAGAGGCAATCCAAGACCTTTAGAAACCAACTCAGACACTCTGACTTTTGATGATTCAAGCTTTCAACAAAACAAGGAAAAAAACACTTCTTTAAATTCCTGCAACTTAAAATTCCTTAGAACTAACCAGTGAAATCAAGACTGCCTTGGAAACGATTATTTCTAAAAATAGTCCAAGTAAAGGGGCAGCATATGAGCTGCATATTTTGTTTCTGTCTAAATCAACAGAAAACTAAATCAAAGTTAAGGGCATGGAATGAGGATCTATCAGCATATATCTTGGTAGAATATTGGGAGCTGACATGCACAAGAGTGCATAAACAACTAGTCAATACAAGATGTAGACTCCTCCAATATAAGGGCCTCATGAGAATTTATGCAGCACCACAAAAACTAAACATGCAGTCAAAATATAACTGATGTGTGCTCAAATTGTAAGAATGCGAAGGAGTCATTCTTCCACTGCATGTGGCAATGTTCTGAGGTGGAGCTTCTCAAAGGAAGTTCTAACAGATCCTGTATTTTTCTATAGGGACTATACGGAAAAATACAAGTTTACAAAGAGCAAGCAAATGCTTATAAATATCCAGTGGTGTCAAAAGTACACACATTTGTTAGTTAAGTAGAAGTATAGATACTGCAGTTTAAAAACACTCTGGTAAAAGTTGAAGTATCAACCTGAACTCTTTACTTAAGTAAAAGTGAAAAAGTATGTGCTCCAAAAACTACTTAAAGTGTAAAAGTATAAAGTAACCTTTAGAAAAAAACTCCAGATGCCACTATATGAATTGAAAGCTACATTTTTTGACTATTTCGAAAAATTCTTTGAGATAGGGCCAAGGATGAGGGATGGTCTTGTTGGTCTCTGTCTCCATTTCGCCTGTGTCCGACCTTTCAGACATTTCAACATCTTTTTCTGAATCCTACATTGTAGCATGGCCACCTTCTTGAACACCTGCTTGCTTCTGATGATTTCCTTTAGCTAACCAATGAGTGTTTGTGTTATATGACTCATTCAATTACACTAGTTTTCACTACATATGGTGTCAATGATCTGCATTGGATGGTGCACATGACGTGAAATAAATATTTATAAACATTAAACCAAAGCCAAAGTAAGAGTAACGTTTGTTTTAAAAATGTAAGGATTAGAAAGTACAGATACTTGTGTGAAAATGTTATTAATATACGTCAGAAGTAGGAAGAAAAATAAGTAATTGAGTAAAGTATAGATACCTAAAAAGTGTACTTAAGTACAGTAACAAAGTATTTGTACTTTGTTACTTGATAACTCTGTAAATATGTTTTCTGTAAGCCAAGAGAACCATAGCAATATTTTGGAAAAATGTAATAGAGCCAAGCTGGTACATTGGGCGAAGCAGATGCTTGAGGTGTTTCCATTGGAAAGAATGTGTTTTAGGGGAAAAAAGGCAAATATTTGAAAAAGTGTGGGGACCCTTCTACTCCTTTGTAAATACATTTGATTTGACTGTGAAAACTGGAGACACTTTGCTAAAATCTGTTTCTGTGATCTAATGAACTAATGTTTCTACTTTTTTTTTTTCCTTCAGGTGTTTGTCTTACTGTAATCACAATGCTCTTTTGTTCTACATGTAACAGACGCTGATATGTTACTGTAATGATATTGCATAAAAAAAAGTCCAAAAAAACAAAATTACAATTATGTTGTTAAAACCAAGATTAGCTCAAAAGATTCAAGGATTAAAACTACAATTATACAATGGTGAAAGTGCACTTAAAATGTTCCAATTGCACTTTTCATTTTTCTGTTTGATGGAGTCAATATACCACAAGGCCTGCAATCGTTCAAGATAGTAAGATCATTGCTTTAATGGGCTGACAGGATGTAAAAGGCCATGATTCAATCGCATGAACTTAAAGCACTAAAATATGAAAACAACCAGTCTGACTCGCCTTCTATTATTTCATTATAAAAATAAAAGTAAAAGCACAGGGACCAGCACTCCATACAGGTTATCATATTACATGGCTTTACTGTACATAAACGTTAGCAATGTTCCCGAAGTGCTCTGGAGAATCGGTGCATACAAATGAAAGGCTGTACCGGTGGTGTCCATGCAAGTAAATAGTTGAGCATGTTAAAACGAACAAAAATAAAGGTGAGCCTGGGCCTTTGGCATTAAGGGTGGCAGGGTCCACATTCACAAGAAAAACAAATAAAATTCCATGTATATTCAACTAAGGTTTGACACCATTACCCCAAAAACATTCAAGGCTCTCTTTCCATGCTGATTAAATCCATTTATACATAAGAAATAATAGGTGCTTATATCTTGATTTTTTTTTTCTTTGCAAATTATTCCCCATGACAGCTTTTCTTTTTTTTTTTTTTGCTTTATCCTTGGCTTAGAGTATGAGACTTGATGGTAATGTCATCCTTACTAAAGGGTTCATACCTTTATAAAAACACACACGCACCAAATAAAGCCCACCCCCAAAGAGAACCCGCCCAAAATAGGACAAACACCACTTCTGAATGTTAGTTCTGAAAATATGACAAGTGACAAATTTCACCAAAGTTTATGTCTACAACAAAAAAATATATATACACATTTCACTCCCCCATGAGATTTGTTCAGCTTATTATATAATAAATGGTCTGTTTTCTTTGTAGCATCGTACCAACATTCACGGATTTTGATATTGAAGTACAAAGACAAATACAGTAGAATAAAATACAGTTTAAAAAAAAAATACAAAAAAAAGGACGTTTTTCTTTTGATAGTTTATCAGATACAAACCCAGAAACTGATCGACACTTAAAGAAAATATAGTTACCCCCTGAGGTCAAAAAATAAAAGTATAGCCATGTCTCAAACCAGATTTTACTACTAAATACCACACTACTTTGTGTTTTTCTAAAGTAGTGTGTCTAAACTGGACGTCCTTTGCCCCACACTTAATGTGCAGAGCAAGTGCACTAGTTTGGGTGTTAAAACATAATAGCAATAATTAGACTAAGGAAAACATGAAGGCACCGTTATCTGAGGCAAAAATAAAATTAAACTAAAAACACCTCAAAAGTCTATTTTATCAAAGGAAAAAGCTCAAAAAATATATAAGTTTAAAAGGTGGTTTTGTAATAACTATATGCTTTGTTAAAGTATTTATTCTCACTGAACTTTATCACTAAGGCTTTTTTGCTTCTACCTCAACACACTTGTGTGTTTAATAGAATTTTATTTACTCAGCAGAAAATAGTGAATAATTGCAAGGTGGAAGGAAAACTATGCATGTTTTTGAATAGAGATCCACAGGCTAGGTGGACACATGTGCTAACAGGACAACTGTAAGCAGAAGTTTTCTAATAGACCTTACTAAGCTTGAGCTGCAGTGACAAGAACGGACAAGAAACTCAACGTGAGCAAAGCTGGTAGAGGAAGTACCCAGAAGACTTTCTGTGATTGTAGTAAAGGTGATTTGATAAATTACAGAAAACTAATGACTAATTTTTTTTCTTCCACTTCACAATTATGCACCAGTCTGCCCAACAAAATCCCCACAAAGAACAGCGAAGGCTGCATTTGTTATGGAACAAATTGTGAAACAGTTCAAGGGATATAAATCCTTCTCCAAGGCCCTGCTTCAGGCAGTGAATCGTGTTAAGGCCAAAATACGCCCCCTCTCAATGTGTGAACCGCATATCAGGAATATCATATTAGAACCTGACAGATTGGACAGAAAGATGTGTATAAAACCAGAACTCTACTTATTCTCAGTCTAGTTTTGCTACATAGATGTTGTCACTTAAGGTTGAGACAATTCAACTCAACTTGGCATTTTAAGCTTGTATTTTAGTTGCCATTATGCACAATAAAATATACATGTATGTTAGAGGAATATATGTAGGTTTCAGTCTATAAGATCTCAGGAAGGAATACATCCAAGCATTCAGGTGAGGACTTTGGCTTTAAAAGTTAGTCTAAATACTCACAGATATGAAGCGCATATAAAAATGATGTAATTGGGGAAAAAAGAAAAAAAAAAAAAAAAGAAAAGAATGGCTATGAAATGGTTGAATAAAATGAATTAAATGGCTCGTAGAGTAATCAGTCACAACTAATGTTTCACCAAAACCCATTTCTTTTAAAATGAGCAAAAAAAAAAAAAAGAAGGAGAAATGAGGAGAAATGTTTTCAAGTTTCACCTTTTCACACATGCTGCATTTCACCTGTAACCAGACTTGTTTGAAAAGCAGAGATAAGTATAAAAAAAAGGAACTGAGACTTGGATTCGGAGGGCTTCAAGGGGAAAGGTTCAAGTTTATCATTCCTAATGTGCAAGTCAACATAAAAATGCTACAAGTCGTACAACGCTGTTGTCAGCGGGGCGTGTGTAGGAGCAGGTTGAGCTCCGCCCCCTTTGTAGTTTGCTTGATAAAAAGGGGGCTTGGATAATGGCAGGTCAGCTTGCCCATCTTCCATGCAGTGCATAGTCTCTACTGCACTGCGTTTTTTTTCTCCGGCTGTTCAACTGCATTCTGTGAAGGAAGAGCATCTGTTGGGAGTCCACCATCCTCCATACCTCCCTCTCTTATGGTGAAAGGATCTCCTCCATCCTTTACTAAGAAACGTTGCTCCTCTGATTTTCATTCCTATGAATTCTGTTCATGTTCAGCTAGCCATCTGTGCAAGTGTGTCTCACTCGCTGTCCGTCTCCAATTCTGAGTCAGACCACTGCACTGGACTCAGTCTCCCATGTCGCTGGGCGTACTCTATGACGGCAGTGTAGCAAAAATAGTACTGGTCCCAGGTCTGGATGCTGAAAGCCCTCTGCGTGCGCATCCTCCGCACTGTCTGATGAACATTTACCGTGCCTACGTCCTCCAGCTGTGCTAGGCAGATGTCGAGTGTGCAGAATGTGCCTTAACATGAAAAAGAAATGGATAAATAAGCAACACCTAAAAGGATACCAAACTAAATACAAAGTCAATTACAAATGGAAAAAATTTGAGGCATTGATGCATCTTTCCTTGATCTGACAATTCACTTTTTAACAGGTTAAAACTGGGTACAAATATAAGAATCAAAACATTCTATATTAGATAGCTAAAAGTAACCACATTGGGTTAGGTGGGATGAGAACAGTAACATCTTTACCTGTGCGTCCGATTCCAGCACTGCAATGCACTATCACAGGAGGGCCTCCAGGAGGTCCCCTCCAACTGGATCCCAGGCTTTGGACTGCAGATTTCCTTTTCTCAAGTACATGCTCACGAAAGTCCAACATAGCAGAAGCACTTTTAGGAACCCCAAAATCTGGCCAACTGACATAGAGGTAGTGACAAACTTCCCGTTTCTCTCCAGACTGTAAAAAGATATCCAACAAATGTTTGAACCAAAGGCAAACACACTGAAAATAAATCCGTTCTCACATCAGACACCGCCTCAAATGTATCAAAGCTTCTGATTTACCTGTGTGTTGTACAGTTCGAGATGGGAGAGTTTAAAGTCCTGAAACACCTGGATGTGTGTGTTCTTCACCATGAAATATCCGTGCTGCTCAGTTCCACCCTCCTCCAGAGGCCAGTACTGACCACATTTGACACGTCCTCGCTCTACAACTCTATGAGAACCATTTCAAAGGCTTGATTATCATTTCACCAATAATATGTGAGCTTTAACACATGTTGCAAAAATGTTTATTAACAGACCTGGTGGTCATGACAATGATGAGTACCATCTGCTCCCAAACCATTCGCCAGAAGTCAGCGAAGGTTTTTGGCAACGGACCTGAAGAATAGAAAGTCACAGTAGTGAAAAAGTTGCATGTTGATAAAGCAGGGAGCTAGAACCGGCAGCTCCAAAGCCTGGCGTAGCGTTCAATAAGACTGACCACAAAATAAAGATTTTCTATAGAAAGGCATCAGATAACTGTAGTGTTAGAAGTTGATGTTCATATCCAAGGTCTCACATTACAAAAGAATGAATAAGAACTTTTTTTTTGGTATAAATAAGACAAAAATTCACTATAGCCTCTTTCCCACAGAAATTAGCAGACCGAAGTTTTCAGACATGGGTCAGCATAACAATCGACATTTGGCTCCCTTCCCACTGGGAAAAAATACTGGCCCTACACTGGCTAAATTGCCAGGCCGCTGTTCCCCCACCATTACGTGTCTGGTGACACCATCACGCAGGGTTAGCGTTGATGATGTCAAACAAAAAAAACAAAAACAAACTTGTATTGGCTTAGAAAACATGCAATACCGGTATCGGGTATTACAGGCTAACAAAGAAACCAAACGACCCCCATTCCAAGGGGGCAGACCCGTTCATCCGGTCCAATTTGCATGTTTTCTAAGCCAAAACAAGGCTTTGTTTTTTGGTCCACTGTATAAAGCATCAAACTCAAAACCATTTCTGACATTTCGAATTGAAAAAGATTCAAGGATAGAAAGCAAAACGTCTTCAAACTAGGAAACAAAGTTCAGTGAATTGTTTTGTTTTTTTTTTTTTTTGGAATCACTATGACCTGGATGACTAAGAATCTTCACCAGCATAAACAATGAAGAGTAAGATGAAAGGAAGCAAGGGCCTAGTAAATGTTTTGTTTTGCTCTGTTGGAATCCCTCTCACCAATGCTGCGCCATGTCTATCGAATGTAAACAGAGTTGTTTTGGCTTGTTCGATCAGAAAAGTCTGGCGCAGCATGTTGATGTCCATACGTTGCGCATCACGTATAATGGCTGTCTAACCAGCTCAGGTGTTCCCACAGCATGCCGATCAGAGCCGAGGGCAAGCGATTTTCACGCAGGTCGCTTGGCGAGTCGTTTGACCCGGGTAGACGTGCGTCAGTGAGCTGTTCCTATTGCCACTAAAAGCAGATTGTTCCCAGGTTTACTGTTTTTTTGGCCAGTGGGAAAGGGATATATGATAAGACAAACATTGGGATGAAATCAATAAAATGTGATGCATAGTACAGCACTGACTTGGCTTTTTACAACCAGTTAAGTATCGAGTCACCGTGTTACAAAACAAAACCTCTGAGCAGATGTTTTGATCCTCCCACTGTTGTGTAAAATCTCTTCCCAGAGATCCTTTTCACCAAATAGGGATACAACTACACAATTAACTTAATGTGACATTATGCCCCAAACAGATGTCTAAACTTTCCTGGCAATCCATTAACTTGTGACCAAGTTTGAATAATCTTGACAATGGAAATTAAGAATGAAGTTTTCTGCAAACAGGAACTATTCACAGCATCTCAAGCTGAAGCAATTAATTAATCCCAACCGGCAAAAGAAAAGACCCAAGAAGCTTTTATTCCTAGAGCCATACACAATACATCCACTGTCAAAGGCATGAGTGCAGCTCTATTTGCCCTTTATAGAAAGCACTTAACAGGAAGGTGATGTGCGTGTTCATGCTGCAGGCAAGATTGCCAGCAGAAGAAAGAGTTCCAGGAATATGTGGACATAGCCTCACCAAAAACAGAGCACCGTTTTAAAGTTGCACACATGAACAAGACTTATGTATAGAATTCAAAGTTTGTTTTTCATTGCACTTCAGAGAATATTCCTTTCGGACAGATCTTCTCAGGCAGTATTTGTGTCAATTCTCAGGGACAGGTTGGCTTGCATCATTATAAACCATAAAAATAAAACATCAATGGCATCTCAGTAGCCCCATAATATAGGTCTACAGTTATTTGTGTTTACAAAAATCTTGAATAAAGAAAACCCAGGGGTTTCTAACCTTGAGTTGCGATGTAGGCATTGCTTCTCTTGTACCCATCCATGAAACTGGCATTTATGTAATCTGATGTCTATAAAAAAACAACAACAAAAAAAAAAAAGATAAGTCAGGTCCAACCCACATCATCCTGTAGGAACCTAAAATATATACAGCTGAAAAAATTAAATTGGATTATTAGATTCTTAAAATAACCCTAATCTAATTTAGTGGATTGATAAATCATTAAGTGGAATATACAGACTTAAAGCATAACATATGCTATAAGAAAATCCCATGCATACAAGTAGTTAAGCTTAAAACTGTACACAGCATGAATCAATCATGTTCTGTTCAAAAAATTTTTTTAAAACAAAACATTGATGAGCAAATGAATAATCAGCTGCAGCCCTTATAGTTAAATGATAGCATTTATGTATATTATGAATTAATTAGAATACCTAGCACACGATTCGACTTAGATGGATAAGATGAATAGCTATACTAAGGTTTCATGAAGAGATTTGGGTAGAGTAAAATATCTTAAAGCATTTAGATCACATTTTTGACATGTTATAAATGCAAATGGGAAAGAATTAATGTCTCCAGAGACATCTGCATGCTACTATTCCTATGGAAAGTGCAGAGTATCAGGAGCTAAATGCACATTTTGCAGTCTGATATGAAAATAGAAAACTTAATATTTTTTATTTATATTATAGTCTCTCATATAAAATCGCACCATTATATTAAATACACAAGTTTTACAGTAGTGATCTGACAAACTACAATAATCTGCATGTATTTTATCTTAAATTTTATGTACAGATTGTTAAAGTATTCGTGAGCAGGATATTTTTTCCGGGGTCTTAACTCGCCTAATAATATAAGTAACCACTGGGTCAGAGATAACAGAAATCATTACCTCATCTTCATCATCACAGAGCTGACAGAGCCTGACTCGTGATTGGTCCAGGCATAGAACATCACTGTACCGGTTCTTTATCTGATTTGACATTTTCCTGCAAAGATGATTTGAGTTTAGTTTATATGCACTATTGTGGATTTTCCTACCTAGATGTAGGGAGCAGAAAGCCTTACTTAGAATAGTCAAAGGTTCCTGCTGGAGGCTCCTTCCGGATGTCCTCGTACTCCTGATAGATCCCTCTTTTCTTTTTTCTTTTCACATACTCCACCAGCTCATGCACCGTCATTCCTCCTGGGTCCGGCATGTGAACAGATATCTCCGTGTAACGACCATCATCATCATCCTCATCTGGGCCCCATGATGAAGACATAGGCGGGGATTGTGAGGTGGGCTGGTTGGGGGGGCGAGGCAGAGCTTTCTGGGGCAGCGGTGGAACCCCTTCCAGCTCTTCCTCCTCATTCAGGGGCTCACTTTGAGACCTGTTGGAAGGGTTTGCTGCATCGCCATCAGCTTTCTGCGACGGCGGCGTGTTGGGGGCAGCGACTGACTGGGGAGGAGCTCGGCAGCTGCGGCCGTTCACGTTTGTGTTGGCTCCGCTCAAGGCCGAACCATTCCAGTGCTGGTGGTTCCCCTGGGACTTGTCTGCTGCGGAGAGGGAACCCTGCTGATACTGGCCCGGGCCTCGAGTCCTGCCCTCCATGTGGTTCTGAGGGTTAGCATTGTTGTCATTAGCTATGGCACGTTCAGTGCCCTGTTGGGTGTGGGAAGGCACTGTACCAATGCTTGTGTTGCTATTGTCCAAACTGTAAGAGCGCAGCAGGTTTCCCACACAATCATGTGTGTCATGTTCCTGTGTGTCCCCCTGATCAGTGTTGGTTTGAGAGTTTACACAGGACTGGATCCAGGCCACGTGGCTGTACTGGGACGTCCCACCAAGATGTTCAGGGAGAGAGGAGACTGGGATATGACTGACCAACTCATGAGCTCTCACTGTAGACACCTGTGAAAAGAATTAAAAACTGGATAAATAACCACCTCACCTACTAAAAGGTGAACCCATGAGGATACATGCTCATACCCGTTCCCTCAGCTTTTCTCTGACAAAAAGACGGAGAACTGCAAACGGCGCTCGAAACCATAATGGAGAGGACACAATGAAGACGCATTTTAATCGAGCGGGAAATGCCCCCTGGGGAATGCAAGGAGGCACACAAAAAACAATAAAAAGGGCTCTTCATTGAAAAACAAACCAATGTATCAATACAAAAAGACACATGATTTACCTTGAGCAAATTCAGAATCTTGACACAGAGCTCATAGTCAAAATTTCCATAACTTGAGTTTGTCATGTCATAAATAAATATCAGCCCGTCTCTTTGAGTTTGCACACTGCAAAGACATAAAGGTGCTCACATGAAAACTTTGCCTTGCTTTTACTGAACACATTCCAAATTATTAAAAATACTAACGTTATTGCATTTCAGTACAGGTGTTTACAGTATCTGTAACCAAGACATTTCTGAAAAACAACATAACATCATTTATTTTAAGTTCCGTTTAGTCTAAGACCCTTCTATAGAGACCCGAGTGGCACGTGATGCAGTATAGTGAGGCGTTGGTCTTTAAAGTAGCTCTGCAGAATTATCCAATTGGTAAAAATTTTATTTAATCTTTGTTTATGCAGACAAGAAATCCGATTTTTTTGTGGTGCCGTTCACATTTCCAAAATGTTGTCTGACAAAGCTTGCATATGAACATCAGATTTGTATCGGATTCAGGACCACATAGTCAAGAGGCCTGGGTCGCATTGGGGAAAAGAAAAAAAAAAAAATCGGATCTGTGTTGTTCAGACTGAAATCGAAAGATCAGATACAAGTTGCATATGGGCAAAAAGAAAAAAAACTGGAGTTGGTTCACTTCGGCCTGCAGTGTAAACGTAACCTTAGACTAGACTTGAAAATGAGAAGTCCAATCAGTTCCTGACAACACCAAACACAGTTAAGATAATCAAGCTGCATTAGTCACCGTTTTCTTAAGACTTAATTTTGAGGTGGCCTGGGGTGCTTGTTTTTACTTGTTTAAAGACAAGACGTTGATGCACCTTAAGCAGAAAGTTAACTAGAAGGCTAATTATGAAAAAAAATTACTTTCATTTCACAGTAAGAGCGATGGCATTCCAGTGCCTCTGTTGGCTTATTTAAAATGATTTCTCAGTTATGTGTAATAAAAAGACCAGCTTTCTAAGTTTTCATAAAAAAAGTTAATGAAACATTCATAATTTTTTTTGATCAATTTGAGGGCAGTGTAAGATTCAGGGAATGTTATTTTATCTAATATTAAATGCTTGTTTAGCCCCCAATACATGAATTTCATCATTTCTCTAGGCTTTAAGTAAAACATCAGCTCCGTTTATTATATGGTTTTCTACCTAAAATCGGTACACTAATGATTTGAAGCAGAAAAACTACGCTAATTCAACATACGACAAAAAATGAAATGTATCAGACCAACAAGTTGTGATGAAAATGTTACCTTTCTATGGCTTTATCCAGCTGATAGATGATGGCCTGCAGAACAGCTTTGTGAGTGGTGACGTCTGGTCGATGAAGGCGAGCAGTGAAGAGCGCTAGAGCAGCACCTTTAGCATCTCGACCAGGCTGGAATGAACCATTAACAGGTCATTAAAGAAAAAGAATGATTAAGACCAAAAAAAATAATAATTTTTTTCAAAAACTAACTTTGCTCTTTAGATGCTAAATCTGAACAGAACTTTAATATAAAAGTTGTCTCTTTTTTTTTTTTTTTTTTCCCAATACTAATGTGCACCTGTGTGAAGACAAGCTGATGTAATACTGACCAGAACTGTAAATTTTCCACTCAGCAGCTCAGAGCGGAGGGGCTCCTCGTCAGGGTTTATATTGATGATACCCTCTTTGATTCGGGTATTCTGAAACACGACAACAAAAGAAATGACTGTTCCTGTGTTTTTTGCCCTCATGTCTTTATTTTTAAAAGCCCTATAGGTAAAATGTGTGGATCAACAGTAGTTCAAAACATGAAATATAACAAATAGCTTTAGCAGATCTAATGCTAAGATTCAGGGATCTTGCATATTTACAAGCTCATGTTTGAATCCATGATTTAAGGAAAGCAAGCCCCGTTCACAGCACAAACACCAACGCTATAAATAGGTCTGCTACCACGTATCAGACTCAAACTAGCAGTGCAGCAGAATAATACAAGCTTCCTTTCTCACAGGAAGGGATCTTTTTCTAGTATCAAGAATTTGGATTGCACTCTTAAAAAAATATACAGATATGAAAAACAGTATTGGTTGTGTAAGCAGAATTAAAGAAATCAGCCTGGAGACATCTATGGACCAAAGGAATCAAAAGACTGCATTTGCATGCAGTTGGGGTAACACAACAAAGGTTCCTTTAAAGAAGAGCTAAATTATCACAGGAGAGCTTTAATGTTGGAGATAAAGGACCCATCTACATTCAACAAGGGTTATTTAGGACAGAAACACCACAGCTTGCCAGGATTACCACATACAGGGCTGTGACAAATAGCTCTGTTTGACATTTAATATCAATTTGCAAAGAGAAATCTACAGTTTGGCCTGATTCAAACCACCAAGTAAGTTTAGTGTAGTTTATGCGAGCAAGGCTGAGATCTGCCTCTCAGGTTCTAAATGGACAAAAATACAGTTTGTTGAAGAACAAAGCAAGGCTAATTTCTTTCATCAAGCTATCTTTTGTAATGGGCTATAATTACATTACATATTAGTTCTGTCTAAAAGTCACTAACATAAAAACAGTTTCTCAGCATAAAACAAAAAAAGACTTACTGGCACACAGTATGAACTAATAGAACATTTCAGCAATTCAGCAGACTATGTACACGCAGAATTATTATTTTTTTTTTTCTTCGGGAAATGGCACATAAATTAAACTAAAAGGGAAAATAAAGATTTTACAAAAAAAAAACACACCTTATATGCTTGGAACAAATCGATGGCCCTGGAGACGTCAAACTTGCGGGCCATAAGAAACTTAATGGCTGTAGGCTGGGAGACGAGCCCAGCGCTGTGGGGGAGCTCTCTGCTCCTCACTTCTCTCAGGAACTCCTCCACATTCTGACAAAATTGAAACAAAACAAAAGACTAACAATGGTGGCAGATATATATTAATAAAAGCTTTATCATACATTAGGACTGGAAATAAATTAAGGTTTGGAAAAAATAAAAATAGCAGCAGCCATAACACAGAAAGAACGATGGAATCTGAAGGGCGCAAGGAGGCTGGTTCTATTGACAGATCAGCCTATACATCTCTATGCAACGTTACATGTATGTATGGTACAGAAACCAGACTGAGTTACTAAACAAAAGTTAGCTTTCCATTTGTAGATTAGGAAGTACTGAACCTTCATACATGAAGCCAGAAGGTGCTTCACTGAACATAATCTTTCACATGCAACACAGAAAGAGGTCTTCTGAAATGCATTCATCGTCAGCACGTTTAGGCAAACCTTCTGATCTCAAATTGAAATTAAGATTAAGGTAAATCCAGTGTGAACATTTTCTCCATACCGTCACAGAGTAAAAACCAGGCAAGCATTCATAATAATTTCACAGAATATGAAAAAAAGACAAATTGACTAAGTCACACAGGAATGCAACTTTTTGTTAGCTCTGGTTGATCTTAGTCGCATTTAACTAGAAATTTTTCAAGCAAGAAAAAAAAAAACTCTTTAGGTGACCACCAAAAATCTGATTCAGAGCCACATTATCAGGCTATGGGAACCAAAATTTATCTTGAAGCATATATACTAATGCTATGTGTTCTATATCTATTGCTTAAAGTAAAAACAAATAACAGTAAGTGTACAATTTTCACCTGTTCAATTTTACAACAAAACTATAGTGAAATCATTTTATAACCCTATAAAATATTTTTCTTTTACCAGTTTTGCTGTACGAGTCGATTATAAGTAAACATACTGGTGTAAATTTTCAGTCACCTGGGTCAGGACAATCACGAAACAGACTTAAATTTGAGGGCAACTGGACTTCCAGTTTTTTTGAAGATTGTTGGCTCCCAGTACAGTTCTGGAGCAAGTCAACAGAATTGACAAAGGCTGCTGGAAAGGCTTTGAAACATCTTCAAAAAAAAAACAAAAAAAAACAGAGAAAGTCCAGTTGCCTTCCACTTTAAGCCTGTTCTTTTGACTTATAAGGAAAGCTCATAGAAAAGCAACTGCATTTTTACATTTTACATGAAAAAGAAAAAAACAAACAAACTACATTTTAACAGTGTTGCATTTAACGGTCCAAATTCAGGTAGAGAATGAAGTTCCCATCCTAAGTATTGGAGATTTGGGGGTTACAGTATGTATTTTTTGTTATCCAATCTATTTAACATGGGAATGGCACTGCAGTAGGATTTCAGCCCCTAAATGTAGAATTTACTATGAATCTGTTATCAGGTTAATGATGACAGATTCATACTACATTACTTTGTGGTATTAAGAAGTTTTCCCAATCTAATGTATGGTAGCATAGGCTGACATTCTTCTCGCCTAGCTTAGAAAACAAAACTAAAAAACGTAATCCCATTTACTTTATTTTTTTTTTAATGTAAAATACCCTCAAAGACATATGTTGAAAGGCTGTCTATGAAAGAACTGTAAATGAAGTGATGTTGCATTAATGAGAACATAACACACAATTTAAAGTTCTATTTTCTGGTCTGTCAACATATTAAAATAACAACGTATTTATCACTATACTGGGAAATAAGCAGTGTTCATGTATGTTTCAGGCCGTCTTCACATTTTAATTTCAGGATCGTTTCAACAGATGTTTGACAACAAAACTGAATATCTGAATTCTGTCCAAAGAACAAAAAAATAAAATAAAATAACCGGGTCGTGCTTTGGTTGTGCAGTGGTTAACGGACACGACCCATATATGGAGGCCTTAGTCCTCAACACGGGCGAATCCAGCCAGTGGTCCTTTCCCGCATGTCTCCCCCTCTCTCTAATACCTCCTTTCCTGTCAGTCTGCTGTCCATAAAAACAAGCCACTAAGTGTTGAAAAACTTTACAAAAAAACTGAATATTCTAAAATTGGTTGTTTAAGGGCAAGGCATCCAAACATCTTGACATAAGTCTGCCACCATGGAAAAGACACTCAACCCAAGTGTCCAAATTATCTGAACTATTTAAGGCAGGATTACACTGTACAACTTTTTTGCCCTTTTTGAAATTCAGTCGGACGTCTGGAGCAAATCCCTCAATGGGCAGACGTAAACAAGGATTCCACTTCTTCGATGAAAACACAGAATTATGGCGGGGGTGTTAGTGAAATGGAGTTCTTACTGCTTTCAGCACACAAAATTGCACAAATCGCCAAGGTAGCGTGTTTCAAATTTAAAAAACTATTTCTGAAGTTGAGAGGACCGCAGCAACCAGCGGACCTCCGAGGCTAACCTCAGCCTGTCTGCAGCAGCCCTCTCTCGGCATAGTCGTGTGTGAAGGACCGCTGGCTCTGATGGCAATTTTTGACTCAAGCTTTGGAATCAGTTTTCAAAGGATTAGACTTGGGGGTTTCATTGAAACGTGAACAGAAAGAGGCTCTAAGCTCATTCATTTTTAAGGACATATTTTCCGTTTTACCAACAGGCTGTTTGTTCACACTCCCCCACCAGCTTTCTGTCGCATTTCCTACCTTACAGTCAGTTGCACTCATTGCGTTGGCCAATAGGCACAAACATGGTTTGAAAGACAATGGGCTGTTCTCATCAACAATCTTCCGATGTCTCATTCATGGGAGCCAGACTAAATTACACATTTGATTTAATTTAGTCTGGTTTATCAGGCTAGCGAGATTTGACATTCTTTACACTGCAAAATTTTAAATCTCAATAAGTCTTTTTTTCTTAAAATAGGGGCGTTTTTTCTTGATTTGAGGTGGTAAGTGAGACACTATGCCAATGGAACAAGACAATTTACAGTCAAAATAAGAAAAAAAATTATTGCATTGTCTTATTTCATGTGCATATTAGGTAATTATATTGTTGCAAAAGTAAAAATGCGAATTTCATTGGCAAATATTCTTGTTTATCTGCTGAAACTAAGGCTAAATACACTATTTTTATTTTATTTTTTTAAACTTATTTCTAGATCGTTTTTGCAGTGTAGTTTAGTGATAGAATAAGTCGGAGCTGCAAAGAAGACATGGCCTATTTTTCTACCGTTAACATCAGCAGCAGGATGCTCTCCGCTACGATCAAAGAAAGCGACGAGTCGTGTACAGCTTCTCCAGGAATAGCTCGGCTGTCATTTAGTGAATTAATGCCAGGTAATGAGAGATGAGATTGGCCATAAAAAACGTTATCGGCACTTCTGGGAAGCTTAAGGAGACGGAACTGCAATTCTGCGGTCTGTAAATTAGATGAGCAAGGCAGAAAAAAAAAAGAAAAAAGAAAAGAAAAATCACAACACTAGCATCTCAGAAGCAACGTGACTGCTGATATGTGGCGTGACTGCCAAAACCAAGAGATTCAATAGAAAGCGATAGGAAAAACAACTCTAGGAACCAGGCTGCATTTCGGTGAATTCATCATGGTGCATCCGACAGACATACAGACCGCTGCTCGTTAAAGTGGATATAGGTCTATAGTCATATTGTCATTGTATAAAATAAAACCGTAAAATCGAGGCCAAAATATATATGTATTTACATTAAGAATGTAGTTCTTGTCAAATGTTTTAACTCCACCAAGGCAGCTGTCGAGGAGATTCCGGGCAAGTCAACAATAGCTGTTAGCATTAGCTTAGCTTTAGGTTGCATGTGGTACCTCAATCTATAACGTTTAATAACATTAAAACAACACAGGCCTAGTATTAGGACCGTAACTTAAACTATTATTTAAGTATATACATTTTAAAATCGTATATGTTGGCCACGCCGTTCGAGAGTTATCAAGCAAACAGACACAGTGCACCGGCTAATTTATCCGCTTTACTAGGAGAAAACGCCATCGGGCTAACACACATGCTAACTGCTGTCAGTCACACGGGAGCCAGTAGTCTGGCATAGCGAGCAGACGGCCCAAACTGTTTACGACATTAATATACCCAAAAACAAATTAGTTGAATGTTATATTGGGAAACACTGTCAGACACAGATGCTGACATGTATACATATTAGAGGTTAAAGTTGGGTGAAGGAAAATAAATTACGAAGAAACCCTTACCAGCTGCTCCTGAGTTGTCAAGGCTTCCGCCATCTTGAAGCCTCCGCAGCGTCGCAGCGGGCGCGCCCACTGGAAGCTCGTTCACGCCCTAAGACAAACAATGCTCCGCCTAGACTCTGCTACGGGGTACGTCTTAGGACATCCTCGTTTCCCGGGAAAGCTGTTGTCAGTTCTCTGAAAAAAGGTTGTCAGTGATTAGGAATAACGTTGTTTGTTCTCAGGTGTTAGGGGAAAAAATACTCAGTTCTGAGGAAAAAGTTGTCAGTCCTTAAGAAAAAGCATTGTAAGTTCTCAGGTATTAGGGAAAATGCTGTCAGTTCTTAGGAAACAATTTGTCAGTCCTTAGGAAAAACATTGTCAGTTCTCAGGTATTAGGACAAATGCTATCAGTTGTCAGGTATTAGGAAAAATCCTCAGTTCTCAAGAAAAACATTTTTTTCCTTAAGAAAAAACATTGTAAGTTCTCAAGTATTAGGAAAAATGCAGTCAGTTTTTAGGAAAAAAGCTGTCAGTCCTTAGGAAAAACATTGTCAGTTCTAAGGTATTAGGAAAAATCCTCAGATCTCACAAAAAAAGTTGTTTCCTTAAGAAAAACTTTGTCAGTATTCAGGTATTGGGAAAAATGTTGTGAATTCTCAGGGGGAAAAAAAGTTGCCAGTCCTTAGGAATAACATTGTCAGTTCTCTGGGTGCTGGGTAGAGGTTGGGTGCCCTGGATCTTATAGGTTAGGATGCACTGACAGGTATGATATGTAAAATAACGGAGAGAATGGTAACTGATCATCCAGTTTTTAGGCTTGTGAAGTTTGGGTATTTCTCCCCCCTTTCAGAGTGGATATAGGCTTGGTTGTAGGACTATAATTCCAGTTTTGCTCTTAGAGATGTTAAGAAAGTTTTTCTTAATATTATATTATATTTTACTTTCCTTCATTGAGGGTAATGATATGGCAGATGCATCGCCAAGGAAGAAGGATGAAGTGGGAGTTGGGGTGGTGTGTGGGCAGTCTGAAGGCGTAGTTTGATCAACAAATATGTCCAAAGAAATATTGGATTGCGCCATTATGTTATAAAAAGTTTCGAGGGAGCAAGTTATCCTCACAATTCTGTCGTTTTGGGCTGGCCAAAAATCTAGCTCAAATTGGGAACTATCAAAATAAGTTCTGTAAAAAAAAAAAAAAAAAGGTCACTTGGAATGTGGCAAACATTTCACCCTCAATGGGAGGGTTTTTATTGACGATAAGTAGGTGTTTTTTTAATTTAATTTATAAATTTTCTTATAAATAAATCCACATGTGAATCAAAAGGAGGTTTCATGTGCTGTTCATCATTTTATGACGACTTAAAAAAAATCTATCTGGACACATTCCAGATAGATTTTTTTTTAAGACTACCCGAATTATAATTCGAGTAGTCTGACTGAAATGAAAGAAGAAGTCAGTCCTCTATGCGGAACATTGCAAACCGCAGCCAAGATGCTCTTCGGACAGTTTTAGTGTAACGCAGTGATTCTACCTCGGCGGTAACTTTTGATTTATCGTTTGTTTTCCGGAACGTTTTATTTATTTATTTTTTTTTTTTTACTTCTTTACCAAAAAAATAATAATACAACTGGTCTTGTTTATATATCTGTCACAAACACGAGTTACCGTTTCTAATCTATCGGGGAGCAGCTGTATATCTAATATTAGCGATGGAAAGTTAATGATGACTCCGGGTCCTCTGAAAAAGAAGACTTACCTAGGACAGCACCAGATCAAGAAGAAAATCAGGTACGTGAGATCTTTTAATCTCTTGAGTTCTAACTCATTATTCCTGCAGTGATGTCTTAAAACAACCTGGTGATGTCATTTCTGTAAAACAAAAACAAAACGTATTTTATCTTTTTTTCCAACACAGCATCCCAGGCAAAAATGAGACACCAGACAGAGAAAAACTTCTACAGAAAACATCAGGCAAAACAGATAGATCACAGAGGGTTAATGAAGATGGCCTTAAGGTGAGTGACAATAACAATTCCTTATTTAACTGCCAGTTTTCGATCCAACCAGACAAGAAATGAACATTTTTAATTCTTTCTGTCAGGATGGAGGAGCTCAGCTTCTACCGGGGGAATCCACCTTAGCTCTGGATGAAGAGATGCTGCAGGTTCTGGATGTTGTTGATCTTTCTAAGGGGGAAGTTAAGGGAGATGTTATGAGAAGACAGTATGCAGATGGATTTTCTCCTCCACAACCCATAATACAGACTACAAACAGTAAAATGGACAGAAACAATATGAAAATAGACAGGAAAACACTTATTTACACACATGAGGGAGAGAACCCCCAGCAGAGAGGCTGTGGGTCTAAAGGGGAATCTTACAGACCAGGATGGAGAGTCGACTGCAAAGACCTGGCTCAGAGGCTTCTCTTCAGCGAGGACTCTGGTGAAGTAGGTCCCTCTAAGGGGAATGAACAGAATAACCATCCCAATGATGCTCCTGCCCCTTTCAGCGCCCTGGCATGTAAAGCCACACATAGCAGTCAAAATGCAGGCAGCTCCGACAAGTAAGTCCAAGCTAAAACATAACGTTTTGCTTTGTCTTTATTTTTGTCTTCTCACTAACATTCCCTGCCATCTGTGTTTAGCTACAGACAGAATCTCAGGAGAAGTAGCTCACCTCTAAGTGACAGAGATACCTCCAGTAAGAACACCAGTCCCCCTCTGGATGCATCCAGGGACTATATCTTATTTAGTCCCACCCGTCTAGCAGCAGCCAGGCAGAGGGCAAAACTTCAGCAGTCGTTACAGAATCAATCCACCTCTGTTCTCACGGTGCCCAGTGGTCTGGAGCTCAGCACACTCAGTGACACACTTCCTCCTCCAGGTAAATATTGCAGAATTTTATATTACTGTATTAATCTCTTTTTAATCTTTATTTACATGAACCAGGTTTATATATTATTTAAAGGAAACAGGAAAAAGAAAGAGAGATGCACCGCTGTAATACATGTGAAGAAGTATTCATACCACTTTCTTACATTATGCCACAAGGTCCATATACACATATCTTAATCCAACAGAGAATAAGAAAATCAGGGTATATATGAAGATTAGGATCAATAATCGAAAACCTGTTAGAGGCTGCAAAGGACTCAGTTGGAGGTTTGTCTTCCGAGAAGACAACAATCCTAAGGGTATTATCTCATATGACAGACTGGCCTAGTCAAAGTCGAGACTAGTTGAGGATCTACGTTTGAATCCAATAACATTTTTTCGTCTTTCTTTTGTGGGGTTTTTTCAAAGTGATAGAACTCATCATTATATTTTAAGAACGTATAAATGAACAACCACCCAGTTCTTGAAAAAGAAAATAATTTATTTTAAGAGATAAAAAAAATAATAATGGTAATTATAATGGTGATTATACAGGGACATGTTAGATTATTATAATGTAACATTTTTTTTACTACTTGCTTTGATTCTGTTTTATTTTCCTTTATTTTAATCATGTAAAGCACTTTGCATTCTCTTTGTACTGAATTGTGCTATACAAATAAATTTGCCTTGCCTTGCCATGTCCTGATGTACAATATTTAATAACTAAAGTTTTTGTTGTTGGGTTTGGGTTTTTATGGAGCAGTATTTGTGATTTTGAAACTTTTATAGCATTAATAATTAACTTTATTTATAATTGCAACTCTGTTAATTGAATCCTATGAATCTAAAGCCTCTCCTAAAAGGGCAGTGGGCTGCTGCTTGGGGAGTCTGAGGGGTAGACTGCTGGATTTGGACTAGGAAACTTGCAGACTTCTCAGGTTGCAAGCGTCCTGCTCTAACCACTACTTCTACCTGACTACAGGCTACGAACATCATAGCAATCTATTGCCAAAAAGAACTATGATGGATTATTAAGATTCATTTTATTGTCAGTTACTTTTGTTATAGCAATAAATATGACAAATGTGACCAAAAAAAAATTCAATCAACACATGACAGTGTCACTGCTGGCTTTAAGAAAATAAAACAAAAAGCCTTACAGGAGATCTGATTGCCAAACCAAATGTACTTCTTATATTTTGATTGATTAAAAAAAAAAAACTAACCAGGGACCACATTTCACTTGGTACTTCAGGAGCAGACATGATCTCGAAGACTCTGTCAAACAGTATAAATTAATATCCTACATTAAGAGTTTTGAATCCTTCCACAGGTGTTGCCTTGTGTGCTCCTGATCAGCAGGCTGAAAAGCTGCTGTTATCCAGCTGGGGATTACCGAAGCCTGTCTTAGAGCGCTACCAGAAACACGGAGTCACTCGGATGTTTGAATGGCAGGCTCAATGCCTCACTGTTGGACAGGTCCTGCATGGGGGGAACCTTGTGTATTCTGGTGAGAATGGCAATGTTGTTTTTACAGTGTAACTCCCAGACTAAGGGACATTTTTTTCCTAATTTTATTTTGCTATTAAATGAAGCACCCACCAGTGCCGGCAAAACTCTGGTTTCGGAGCTGCTGATCCTAAAGCGCGTGCTGGAGACCAAAAGAAAAGCACTTTTCATTTTGCCTTTTGTTTCTGTGGCCAAAGAAAAGATGCACTACCTCCAGGTGAGAGGGACTAATAAAGAAATCCAAGCTTTTTTAAAAAATGTAAATATATGTTATATTCTAGCTTTTGTCTTTTTCTATTGTGTAGAGCGTGTTTGAGGAGGCTGGCATTCGTGTAGAGGGCTACATGGGGAGCACATCAGCTGCAGGAGGTTTCTCTACGCTGGATGTGGCTGTTTGTACCATAGAAAAAGCCAATTCTTTAATTAATAGACTGATTGAAGAAGATAGCATGGGTCTACTAGGTAAAATACTTCTTATGAATGATTTTGAATTGTTAAAATGTACACAAGAGACTTTAAAATAAATTTTTTTGAAGAATGTTTTCAAGATTTTTTAAAGTAAACATATATATATAATTTTTTTTTCTTTTGTACTACAAGGCATGGTGGTGGTTGATGAGTTGCATATGGTCGGGGATTCTGGAAGAGGATACCTGCTTGAACTGCTCCTAACCAAAATTCGCTATATCGGACAGAAACAGAACACATCAGGGTCGGTGTCTCCCACTTTGTGTTTTTTTTTTTTTTTTACTTTTTCTTTAAGTGGAGTTTTCATTAACATGTCCTTCTACAGCTCTCTTTCAGGGGGTGTTCAGATCATCGGTATGAGTGCCACTTTGCCTAATCTCTCTCTGCTGGCTGGTTGGTTGGGTGCTGACTTATACCAAACAGAATTCAGACCCGTCCCCCTGCAGGAACACCTCAAAGTGGGATGTAACATATACGACAGGAGCCTTTCCGTGGTTCGACAGTTTGTTCCTGCTCTCGATATTAAGGTAACCTGGATTTAGCAACATAATACAGCAGAAATGACTCACATGTATCGTTTTCAAAAATAGCAAAGAGAAACGTCAGATGTAGTTATTTTTCTTTGATGATTCAGAGGCAACGTTATGTCTTTAGTAATAATGCTAAAGTGGATCAGCTATTGACTCAAATTGGCACATTTTCCTCTGATCTATTATTTAGGCTTAGTACCAGGTAGTCATTATGTAAAATCCAAATCTTTCACTAACTATGGAAAAATTCCAGACCCTTTTTTTGGCTGTAAATACATCAGTGGAGGAAATGTTCAATTATACACTGTATTAAAAGAGAGGTTAAAAGCAGATAAAGGTTTGGAAGTCATAAATTGGAACAATCATATTTTCATTTAAAACTTCAGACACTATCCAGAGGAATGCATCACATTTAGTTTTTCTATCAAAGTTCTCACCGCTAAAGGGTTAAAGCCGTGTGTTAAAACTTGAAGTAAAGTCAGCATGTGCCTGATAATGCAATTTTGATGGTTTTGTTACTTAATTTTCCTTACACGAATGAATAAAATGAGACCATATGCTTCAATTTTATAAGCATGCTGAGCTGCTCGTCTCTTTCCGACTTTGGTTGGTCAGCCTTTCTCCTAAACATATTTCTTGACTGCTGAAGGGCCTTTTTAGAAAGCTTTTGTTATTCCAATATTGTAAAAGCACCTCGATGGATTTAAAACAGCAGAAATAACCCAAGTAATGTTTTTTGTTCCTTAAAGGTAACAGATTTACATCTCGAAATGTGTTATTTATCGTTGCTAATGATCTTTTGCCTAAAAAATAAAGAGACATTTTGTATTTAGGATGCGGTTTAAATACCATAAACACCCGAGCAGAGTACATCACTGCAAATACCATAAATATGCTTAGATATATCCAAACTGTCCATCCTACAGTTTTGTAAAGAGGACTTTAGTGACGGCTCTGCTCTTGATTTTTTTGCAGTGTTTTCTTAATTTTTCAGTAAAATAAAGAAAGTGTGAATTGGTACAAGGGTGTTGTTCTATTTGGATAAAAATGATGCATATGGATGCTAAAATATAATATTTAAAACCCAAAATACAATGCACTTTTCTGTGTGTATATATATATATATATATATATATATATATATATTTTTTTTTTTTTAAATGTACATCCAATGTACAATATTCTTCTTTTTTCTTTTTTTGGAATCTCAATGTAGTAATATTACATTTAGCATCAACCCCATTTTTTGAAAGGCCAGAATTAAGAGAAAAGAATACAACAAAAATATTGGAATAATTGAAACAAGACAGTGAAGATCAATACTGATCAGTCGAACTTAGCCAATGTCCCACGTATCGAATAGAGAATTTTAAATATAAAACACTTTTTGTTAGTTACTGCTTTCACTAAAGGAGCAATCCTGTACATTAATGATGTTAGGTTAGCCAGAAAAGAATGGTAACTGATAAGCTGCAAATGCTCAGATGTCCATGAAGGACATTTTATATAACTGTTGATTTCTTTGAGGAATACAAATGTTTTATTTGACTTTTCCTTTTCATGTGTCTATATTGTAGTAAAATATGCTTGAGAATTAAAATGAAATATCTGCAGATGAATCAACAGAACAACATAATTACTTCCAATACATGTTAGCTGGAGCCCTAATCTGAAAATAATTTAAAAGGTGCATTAAGGTGGTCATGCAGAAGGGCAATACTTTGAGGGAACCTCTCAAGGGCTTAAAATATATATTTTTTAAGAGTAGTCTAGTCAGAATCTAAACTTGATTTCAACAGAAATACTTTGGCATTAACCTGTGATGTAGCAGAGCGATATAAAAGGCTACTGGCTTCTATGCATAACTGCTTAACAGTTACAGTTGTAAGTAACTACATTCAGCCTCTGTTTTTACTTGTATTTACTAGTTTCCCATTGGATAGGATTGGTTAATTTTCTAATTGAAATCAGTTGATTTTTGTATTTATTTAGGTTATCTTAGTCTGCTGGTGTTTCAAAAAGGCACAAACAGAAGTAAATCCTGCTCTTGAATTTTGCATGTCCTTCACATTGAACATTCCTGCTTCATTTCAACCGGATATTTTCACACACTTCTACGGTTTTAGCCTTTCATTTAAAGTATCCAGGCGAATCAGAATTTAAATAATCTATACGTTACATCGTGTCCCTTCTTTTCTTTTCTTTTCTTTTCAAATAAGGAACTATTTGGTGGTTTTTAACAGTTTCATCGTACCCTCTCTTTACGCTTTTGGTTCTTTTAAAGGGTGATGACGATCATATTGTGAGCTTGTGTTATGAGACGGTGAGTGAAGGCCACTCCGTGCTGCTGTTCTGCCCCTCCAAGAACTGGTGTGAAAAGCTGGCCGACACCATCGCCAGGGCCTTCTATAACCTGAGACATACGGGTATGATTGAGAGTAAAATGGCGGTTCTAGACTGATTTACCAGGGGGGGTCAGGCAGAAAAAAAAAGTTAAACCAACTAAAATAATAAGTTGATAATGATAGATGCATATCTCCTAAAATGTCAAATAAAGCTATTCTTACACTTTTGGAATATTACATATTTTGGACTTATTTTAAATGGAGATTGTTTTTGTTTTTTTTTGGTTGGTTGGTTAGCAGATGAAAACTGATCATATCACTATTAAGATCCTATCACCTTAAATTTGAAATCATAGTTAAGACAACAATTATAAGGAAAAAAAGAAAATCGGACGTATCAGTCACTGTCTGTTCCAGTGCATATCATCATTAGAATTTTTTTTCTTTTTAGTATGTCTTCAGTATAGGGGCCCCGGTCCCTGTTGACTCCTGTCTAGAACCGCAAATGGCTGTGATACTATTTTACTAAATGTGATTATGCAGCGTTGACATTTATGGGACTTTTTATGTTAAATAAGTGTCGACATTGTAGGAGGACTTCCTTTTTCTTTCAGATCTCCAGGGCAAAGCTGGTCCTCAGCCTGTTTGTCTAGATCCAGAGGGCTTAGTTGATGTCATAGCTCAGCTGCGGCGGACTCCAGCTGGTCTTGATCCCATCCTACAGCGCACCGTTCCTTGGGCCGTGGCCTTCCACCACGCTGGTAAACACCCAGTCCTTTATCTTTACTGAAATGCAGCATGTCTAGTAAGTTAATGAGAAACATTTCAATCTGCAGGGTTGACGTTTGATGAGCGTGACGTGCTGGAGGGAGCGTTTCGACAGGGATTGATCAGAGTTCTGGCCGCCACCTCCACCCTTTCATCAGGAGTTAATCTCCCGGCCCGCAGGGTGGTCATTCGCACTCCAACTTTTAATGGACGCTTGCTGGACCCACTCACATACAAACAGATGGCTGGACGAGCTGGGAGAAAAGGAGTTGATACCACAGGTACCATTTTAGAAAGGGAGACCCCCGAGGACTCCTTAAAGCATCCTTCTTTAGTAAAATGTTTTTCTTTTCTTTCCCTCGAGGTGAAAGTGTTCTTGTGTGTAAGCAGAACGAGCGTCAGAAAGGTATGAGTCTTCTGAAAGGAGATCTTCAGCCAATCAGCAGCTGCCTGGTCAGGAAGGAGGGCGAAGGTGTGACCACCAGCATGCTCAGAGCCATCCTGGAGGTACGACCAACATCAAACCTGCTATAGGAACAACAGATTATCTGATTATAATCGCTGCATTGTAATAGATTTTTTTTTATTATCAATAATTTCTATTCCATTCATTTTTTTCTTGTTTTAACATGCATAACATTGAATGCATTTAATACATAATATTCTATCATTCAAATAGAGAGGATTGATCCAGTGTTTGTAGATCACCCTTAGTAAGCCCACTTATTGCTCATGTCATTTTATTTTTCGCCAGGTTTAGTGCTTCTTTTTTGGATCCTTAAAGATCAGGCCTATAGTGTTATGTTTGTTTGCCAAAAAATTCAACTTTGATCTCATCTGTCTGGAACACCTACTTCCACATGTTTGCTGGATCCCCTTACACGTCTTCTTCCAACCACAAACTATGACTTTCTGTTAACAGCATTGTGTAACTGCTGTAATGGTTGTCAGCAGATTTTACCACCTGAGCCATGGGTCTTAGCAGCTCCCTCAGTTACCCTTCACTTCTTCACTGCTTCTCTGATTATAGCTTAACCTCCATGTCTTGGATAGACTGTCATGTCCTGGAAGGTTTACAATCCATGCAATATGAATTGCTTTTTCAGATAATGGGTTGAACAGAGCTATGTGAGACGTTATTGTTAGGTTATAGGTTTCGGATACAGTTTTTTTGGCCTAAGTTTAAATTCTCTACAACGTCCTTCCTTGTTTTCCTTTGTTTTGTTAAGTTATTCCCTTATTTTCTCTAAAAAGAATCGAAGACCTTTAAATTTAAATGTATTTACTATTTAGGGGATTTCTAAAAGTGTTTGGTTGCAATAGACTTTAATTATGAGCGCCAGATTTCAAGTCTACATAGTAAATTTTTTTTTATTGGAAAAAAAGTGTTTTTTTTCTGGTTTTCATCAATTCTCTGCTTTATTTTGGTCTATTGAATAAACTCCCATGAAAATACACTGAAATATGTGCCTTTCATCTTTTCCTCCCAGATTATTGTTGGAGGTGTCGCCAGCACCCCGCAGGATGTGAGGTTGTACGCGTCGTGCTCCCTTTTAGCTGCCAGCATGAAAAGTGACGCTAGAAAAGAATCGGATGAGGAAACCAGCAGTGGAGCTATTGAGGCTTGTGTTGAATGGCTGATGGGAAACGAATTTATTAGCATTAAAAAGGATGGGCAAGGTAACTCCAAGGTTTACCATTCTGGTTAATGTTAGATTTATGCTTTAAGTTATAAGACTGCAACATGATAAGGAGACTTTTAGTAATTCATCTAAAATACAGTTTTAAAGTGTAAAAATCTGCAGATGCTCCATTATTTTATTCCCATATTATGATTTTGATGACCGTTCTTTTATTTTTTATGATGTTTTTTTCTTTCCTTTTTTACCATGATGCTTCTTGGTCTTCAGATGAACAGTACTGTCCCACCCAGCTCGGTTCTGCCACTCTTTCTTCATCCCTCTCTCCTCCAGAGGCTTTGGGGATATTTGCAGATCTCCAGCGAGCCATGAAAGGATTTGTACTTGAGAATAATTTACACATTCTGTATCTGGTACAAATAAAATACCTTTATATTAAGACCCTAGCTAGCAAGGAATGCACCAAATCCTGCTATAAATCATTTAATTTAACAACCTTTATATATTTCCAGATCACTCCGCTGTATGCTGAGTGGACCACAATAGACTGGTATCAGTTTTTCTGCCTGTGGGAGCAGCTGCCGTCTTCGATGAAGCGAGTGGCAGAGCTGGTCGGTGTCCAGGAAGGCTTTCTTGCACGATCTGTCAGCGGCAAAGTTGTAGCCAAGACAGACAAGCAGCTCAGACAGATGGCCATTCATAAAAGGTAAAACATCTATTTAACCATGCGGCAAAATAAGTTCATCATACAGATTATAGCATTTTTTTCTCTTCTGCATAACACCCCTACCACTGTTTCACACCACAATAGGTGCAATATGTGTTCAAATTGTGGACAGAGCATCATAATTTCCTTTATATCAAAAATGCAAACTTGTGTGTATTTTATTGAAGTTCTTATAGGAGCACTATGGAAGGAAAATAAGATTTTTTGTTAACTTTATTTACAAATTAGATGCTGCAGCCCCAGTGATCCCTTCACTGGGGCTGCATACCCCTAAATATTTTTGTGCACATATAAAAATCCACTAATTACTACATAGGTTGCAGCTGTGCTTATGTGGATTCAGCTGTTCTGTGAAGGAATCAGGGGTTTAAACATGAAGAGCACAGCAGGATGGTCCCAGATGAAGTGGTCGAGAAATTAAAGCAGAGCCAGGCTATTGAATGGCATTTCATGCTTTGAATGTCTCATAATATGATGTTTAACCAATGATTATAAATCAACTGCAAACCTACCAGAACATGGTTGGTTTACAGTTGAAGGGATTAATCAGGAAAGCAGTTTAGATGGTAAGACTGGAGGAGCCGCAGAGCTTTAGAGCTCTAATGGAAGAATCTATTGACAGGACCGCTATTTGATTCCATATATCCGGCGTCCGTGGAGGAGGAGCCACACAAACCCATGCTGTGTCCATGCTCAGAGTCATTTGACACATGTTCTCTGCAAACCTGTGAAAGAGAGTACAAAACTGACTTTTTTGGTCGAAATGCTAAAAAAACTATTTGGCAGAAAGCTAATTCTGCAGATCACCCTAAAAAGGTTTCATAATGTGTAAACATGATTGTGAAAAAGTTTAAGAGGACTTAATATTTAATATTTATGCTAGGCACTGCATATATAAATATCAAGCAATCACAAAATGAATAGTCAGTTGAAGGGATTAATATTTCCTTTATTATTTCACATTGTGTATTTAAATGTTTTTAAAGTTACTTACTGAGTGCAGACTTACCTGAATCCTGCTGAGCCCCCCCTTTATTCCCCTCAGGTTTTTCACAACTCTTGTACTCCAGGATCTGGTCAGCGAAGTGCCTCTGGGAACCGTTGCATCCAAGTTCAACTGCAATCGAGGACAGCTGCAGTCTCTCCAGCAATCTGCTTCTACGTATGCAGGTACATGTTTGAGGGTTTTGTTTTAAGGCTGCTGGAAACCTCATGATTACAATAGAAATATATTGCCAGGAACTCTGCACAAGGATTTGATTTACAGAGTGTGACACTGATTCAGGAATAGTTTTGCTGACTCAATTTTCCATTTATTCTGATTTTCTAATTACAACTCATGAAAGCATGACAGTTAAGATAATAGCATTACATCAGGCTACTAAAAAAGTGTTATGGTACTAACGCAGAACGGACTGGTTTATAAATGGTGTGTTCAATACTCATTTGTGGTTTGTCTTGAGTAAATAGCCTGATTCCCTGATAGGATTTCATTCCATCTCAGGGTAAATTTGACTGAACCCACTATCATGTTTCAGGGATGGTTACTGTATTCTGCAAGCGTCTGGGCTGGCACAACATGGAGCTCCTGTTGTCTCAGTACCAGACCAGACTGAGCTTTGGGGTCCAGCGGGAGCTCGTCGATCTGGTCAGGATTTCCCTTCTCAATGCAACGCGCGCCAGAGCGCTCTACGCCCAGGGTCTCTGCACTGTGGCAGAAGTGGCCCAGGCCACGGTGGCTGTTGTGGAAAAAGCTTTGCGGAACGCAGTTCCATTCAAGAGGTACATCTGAACTATACAACTCTTCTTTCATATATGATAGGGGAGTGGCAGCCTGGTTAGGGCATAGAGCTTGGAATCCTAAGGTTGTGAGTTCGAGCCCCACTCCCACAGACTGCCACTCTAGGTCTCTGAGCAAGACCCTTAACCCCACACTGCTCCCCCGGCGCCGCACAATGGCAGCCCCCTGCTCCCTAAGGGGATGGGTTAAATGCAGAGGTAAATTTCTCCAATGTGAGATCAATAAAGTTCAATTATTTTATTATTATTATATTTAACTGTGTGGATAATTGTTAATTTTAATTAGGCTTCTAAGGATAAACTTTAAATATGAAAAAAATAAATAAATTTTATTCAGTCCATTTGGATAGTGAAAGGAATTTTAGCTTCATCAAAGAAATCCTAACATATCCCATCACAGTTTCAGTAAACTCTGTTTTCCTGCATCAAAGGTTTAGCTGCAGCTTGACGCACATTTTAACTTTTTTTTTTGTCAAAAATGTTATTACATTTGTGTTAATCCCCTTTTTATAATAAAAAAAGAAACAAAAACCCCAAAAGACTTGAAGCTTTTTATAGGTACAGATAGAAACATTTATGGTCACAAGTCTACATAAATGAATCTCTTAATAATTTGGGTTCTTGATGCTCTAGTAGTTAAACAGTTGTTTTTGTTTGGATGGGTTAATTACAGGAGAAACAACTCGGGAGCACAAATCTGGATTTAATTGATTTTCTCTAATTCCAATTGGGTTAAAATTATACGTAAACCCCATTTATAATTGGAAAAATGTTCTTTAGCATATTGCAGAGAAACAATGTTCTTTTCTTAGTAATCATTTATCTACAGACATCCTTCTACCTGGATAATTGACCATCTTTCTTGTCAGAAATGAGGGAGCTCATTTATACTGGTTTGTTTCCTGACACAGGCCCACATTTCTGAATTACTTTTCACTTATGTTTTTAGATCATTGCCCTGTTGGTAAACTAAGTCATGCAACTTTTGTATTATTTGGTCTTTGATAGAATAATCATAGTTAAAAGCTTTGGATCTGTGAGACACAACATGAAGAGCTTCTAAAGCGACCTGTAAAGTTAAGCACCTGAGAAGTTTGGAAGCGCTTTAGTTTAACAGAAATATTCCAACATAATAAAATATCCAACCAGTTTTCTATTTTTATTCTAACCTTTAACAACAGTAAGCTTTGAATAAAACCACTTTAATAATAATTGGAAACACTTCTTTGTACTATCAGTTCAAAGAGAGCGGCGGATGAGAGCGAGATGGAGGCAGCGGAGAGGCGAAACCTGCGCTGTGTGTGGGTCGCCGGCGGACGGGCTCTGACAGAACAGGAAGCAGCTGCTGAGATCGTTTCTGAGGCCAGGCTCCTCCTTCAAGAGGACCTAGCTCAACTTGGAGTTCACTGGGATCCATCAACTCTTCCTCCACAGGCTTCCTCTGAAAATAGCACCGATGATCACCCAAGTGGGGATTCGTCTGCTGCTAATTCCAGCCCACAGCGTTTACAAATGGAAAAAACTGAAGTGCATCAAACGCCAAAGCAGGAGGCAAAGAGGAAAGCAAGAGAGGCTAATGTGGAGGAGATTAACACAGATGCAATAACGGAGAAAAGGATTGCTGATGGGAGATGCTTTTTACGAGAAGCAAAGAAGAAAAATGTGATGGAAGTTATGGTTAAAAGATCTGAAGAAAGAATCAAAGTGAAGCCCAGCACATCAATCCAAGATGATGTCGGACTTCCAGAGAAAACAGAAGAGAACAGAGGGAGTCTACAAGAAGAGGAAAAGAAAGAAAATATCAAGACACCAGAAAAAGAGAAGAGTAAAACAGACGAATCAGTTGGAGAGGAGAAGGATGATTATTTAAATGAACCTGCTGCTGAAAGAAGCTTAACTCAAGAGTTGGCTCAGATTCTATCCAGCCCTCTCCCTCAGGGGCCCCCACAGCCTCAGGCCCCATCCTCTCCTACCCCACCCCCCAGGTTCAGAGCCCCTATGTCCCACACAACCCAACAACCAAGAGCTTCCACAAACACAGCTAATGGAGTCTTCTTAACATCCCCTCTGCAGCCAGACAGACTGAAGCACTCGGTTGCATTAAGCAAAGTCCTGCAATCAATACAGACTGACAGGGGTCTGCAGGATGAGTCAGAGCAAGTCGAGAGGTTACGGTTAAAAGCCACAAACTCTGTGCCCGTTAATCAGAGTCCCACAACTCTTCAAGGAAACTCGGATGATGTTTCTACGCCTGCGGATGTAGATATGTCCCATTCCCCTCCGTCTGCTCCCCTGTTAACTCCCCTGGCCAAAAGAAGACGAGTCGAAGCCAGAGAGGTGGATACATTTTCCTCTCCGGAGCTGTATGCAGGCAGTAGGACTGAGGAAGAGGGGGGTGCAGAGGAAGAAAGTTTCAGTGACAGCTTGGACTTGGACACTCAGACAGAGAGAATTCTTGTCCAAAATGCGTTCACTGGTGTAGCTGGAGGGACAGATCAGGTGGTAGAACATCAGGGGGTCCAACAGGAGGAGCCGGCAACAGAAGCTGAAAATGATGGAAGAGATGAAGCTAAAGGCGCTGAGATGTCATCTCCTACTTTCAATATTTCAGTAACAGAGAGCCAGATGGAGCTAATCCTTAACACAGACCACAGAGTAAGTTTTCACACTCCTCTAGAGGTATTCATAGGCCTCAGATTGAATGACATCATAACCACAAACTTTTGAGTTTCTGTGTAATTGATGGGATTTTACTTAATAGAGCAACACAAAGTGAAGTGGATGAATCTTTCTGAGTTTGGTTTTTCTTTCATTTTTATCTTCCGGATTAGATTTTATTATTAAATCTAAACCTCCTAACTGACAAAGCTCACTAGACCTCCTGTAGCATCAGTTCCTAAACGGGTTCTCCGTTGGGCTGGGTCCTTTCCCCCCTGCCTTCCCGATGACATTGCCCTGTTGTCACTTCTTCAGAGGGCTCAGTCAGAACATGGGAAGGCTTTATTGCACTTTTTTAGAGTGGTGTGATATTAACTATCTGGACTTTAATATGTGGAAAAACTCAAGGAATTAATCCCTGATTTTAGGAAAAAAGATTCTTATCTAGAAGCCAGCATAATTCATGGAAAACGTGTTGAAATAGTAACGACACATAAGTACTTGGGAACTTTGACTCCAACTTACAGAGTAAATATTTAAACAGGGACATTAAGGAATCCACTTGATGTGTAACTCAAATTCTTTTAATGTATATCAGAGGATTTTTATTACATTTTTACTATTCATTTATTCAAAGTCTTTTGATTTGTCTGTCAGTTCCATTTGTTTGATTGGATTGTCTGTGGAGGATCATTGTTAAAATCTGCTCCAGGATCACCGGAGTGACGATGACAGACTGGGGCTCTCTATAGAAAACCCAGGTGCTACACAAGGCTAAACAGGTTATAAGTCATTCTGACCTCATAGTCAGGAATTCTACCTAATGCCCTGTATTTGTTTCTGAATGCTTGACTTATTGTCGTCTTCTCTCCCATTTATTATGACTGGTAGCCTAAAACTGAATCACACTATGAGGATAAATATAACTATTTGATTGATTGACGTATAACTTCAGTGAAGGTCTCAGAGGTTTGTTAGAAAACAATTGACAGTCTTGTTGCACAACCGCAAACCTGATAGGACTGGACTGTTCAGCAAAGCGGACAGGAGGGGAGATTCATAAAACTGGAACCAGGTTTAGAGCTGACTAACATCAGACTATGTGTCTTTATTGCATCCATTAACAGGGGGTACTGTAAGTGAAATCATTTTGACCAAATGCATGGTGCCAGCAAAAATGATGGCACCATGCATTTTTCCAATTTAGACTTAAAAAGATTTTATTTGTCATTTTGTTTACACAACTGTAACACAGTTGTGTAAACAATTATAACAAAATATTATAATTAATAATTATATATTTTTTTGTATAATATGATAAAATACAACACAATAACCAATTTTACAAATCATTCAGCAGTCTGGTGGCAGTGGGGAAGAAACTGTTGTGGAATCTTCTGGACCTGCATCCAATGCTTCGAAGTCTCTTCCCTAGAAATTGATTTTCTAGGGAAATTTCATAAACTTAACTACCTCGATTGGACCTTAGCTTTCCAACTGAATGTCTCCAATCACTACCTAACTGTTCAAGTCCAGTCTTTTTGTTTTATCTTTTTTTTGTCTTGGTTTTGTCCATTTTGTCTGTTTTGCGACGGTTATTTGAATTGGAAAATCTGACCCAGATTCTATTTCCTTAATCTTTTCGTTGATTTTTTGAAATAATGCATCCATCTTTAAGCAGGACTATGAACTTTTAGCAAAAGCTGCATAGATGAATGAATATTTCATTGTATGTATTTGAGGGAATGGCCTAGTTAAAGTCCAGCTCTAAATCTGTTGAAAGACTTGATAAACACTCTCTATTTCAACTGACCAATCAAGAAGTATGAAGAAAACAAGTTAACTTTCTTCATGTGCAAGACTGCCTATTATAGCCAGAGGTGAAGCAACAAGATAATGAATCTGGGAAGAAAAGGTTTATCTGGTTTATAAATGTACTTTTTTTGTGTGTGTTATCACATAAAATCTCAGTAGAATACATTAAAAGTTGGTGGTTGTAATGAGGCAAAGAAGAAAATCTTAATAATTCTAAATAATCTTTCAGCACTTTTTAGCTTCCTTAGAAAATAATTCATTGTTTTCACAGGTATCTCCCAGTCCAGCTGGAAGAGGAAATAACCAAGACGAAGAAGATAACATAACGGACACTAACAACGCTGCATCAGAAAGTCCAAACAGAAGCAGTAGCTTCCTGTTCGACAGCATGTACTACAGCCCTCTGCTGGATGCTCCTGAGCCAGCAGGTGAGGTAGAATCTGCCAGCTTGGGCGGCGCTCCATCTGCCCAACAGAGACGACGCAGTGAGCTTCTCGCAAACCAGGAGGCGGAGGAACAGGAGGCGGTCCAGTGGGGCGAGTCCTTCTTAAACCTGTCTGAGTGGGGAGACGCTCTCTTAGTGGGTGAACACTTTCTGGAGAGGCAAAGTTTGTCGAGGCGACCTGAAGAAAATCAGGAGCTACAGCCACCAAACAGAGAGGAAGATCTCGTGTTAAGGTGCCAAAATGAGCCTGATGAGGAAAAGGCTGGCAATAATCAGCCTTGCAATCAAAATGATAACTCCTCTACTGATGAGGATTTAGATGAGGGCCGAACTACACAACAGGTTGAGAAAAGAAGCAATGAAAAGGAAGAAAAATGTGTTTTCAGACCCCCACATGTCCAAAACTTCCCTGAAAGTGCTGTTTATTGTAGCCCTGGGTTACAAGAAATCTTTGACCGCTGGCCCAGTATGTCTGACCCACCAGGCTCTGGAAACTCCCAAATCCAAGCTGCCTCTGCTGCTGCTACGAGCACAGAGTCACCACAGGCTGCAGTACAACCTGACAAAAAGAGGGAACATTCCCAACAAGCCGATGAAGCTCAGGAGATCCGACTCCCAGAGAGACCAGGTTCTGCCAGTGACCTCGTTCCCCCAACACAGGAAGCAGCTCCTGTCACACCAAGAATAAAACTCACCACCTCCTCTGTCAGCTCACCTGTCGTCGCTCAGCCTCTTAAACGCTCCACTCCCTCAATCCGTCCCCCAGAGAGATCAGCAGATGAAAAATACGCCACACCTCACATGCAGAGCAATTGCTTAGCGCCTGCTGTTTCGTTTTTTGATGATAGATCAGAGAAAAACACGCCGGTGGCACGGATCTTCCTCCCCCCAGAGAGTCTAACGTCTCCACCACCACCCCAACCGAAGCCTCCGTCTGACACTGAGTCCTCGGTCAGTCCTGAAGGCTTCACTCTCCAGCTGTCCCAGGACGCTTCGCTCTGCTGCAGCAACTCTGGGAGCTTCACCATCATAGACGTGGCGAGTGATTGCCGCCTTTTTGATACTTTCATAAAAGAATGGAAGACCAAAGAGCGGTTCTCTGTGGCTTTGGCCTGTGAGAAGAAAGAGTGCAGGCAGCAGCTGGAGGATGAGATAGGAGGAAAACATAAGAGAGGTGAGGGAAAATATTGTAGCAAATATTTCAGCTTCTTTCATGGTTTTCGCTTAATGTTGCCTCTCTTTGTATTAATGTTTGTCCAGCATCAGCAGCTCTTCAAAAGCTTGATGGTTTTCCAGTAAGAGACGAAGAAGACCTTACTCTGATTGGACTATCCGTCTGCTGGGGAGCCAGAGATGCATATTACATTTCTCTGCAGCAGGACCAGAGCAAAGGTATTGATTGAAACAGAAACTCACTGATAGGAGGTCCAACCTCCTCAGAGATGTTTCCACAGCTCAGCCTGTCTGATCCCCATCAGGTCTGAGCTCCAGTCTGGCTCCTCCTCCACTGGATGATGCTCTGCCGGTAAGTAAAAGGCTGGAGCAGGTGAAGGCCTGTCTGGGTGGACAGCCAACTGGTGTCGAGCGCCCAGTGGTTAGTGTGTATGACATCATCAAGGTGTACAAGAGGCTGGTACTGAGCTGTGGCATCAGCTTGGAGGGAAACTGTGAGGATCCAAAGGTGAGAGAAGTGAAAAATAAGAACTAACATAAAGGTGTTCAATTAGTGAACAATAACCGAAAAGAAGAAAATGTATATAGTTTAGTATATATTTTAAAAAGTTAGAAAACAATCTATTGGACTTTGTTTCCAAGTTTAGCATATAATTTATTTAAGTTTGTTGACCCCTTAGTGGATTGTTACCCCTCACCGTGGGTCATATGGCTGCTTTTCTGATTAATTTAGGTCACGTCTTCTTAGGTTCACAGCTGTCAACTAAAAACTCTTTAGTTCATACTCGATTCATTGAACAAGTGCAAGTTTTCATTATTTTTATCATTTATAAACTATCTTTGTAGTTAGTGACTGCAGCAGATTCACCAAAGTCTCCTTGTCTGCATCAACCACCCATATATAAACTAAAAAGCTAAGCTTACAAAAAAAACATATTTAGGCTTTGACAGATTACATACCATCACTAATCCCTCCAGGATAAAATGATCCCACAGATTGTCCATTTGTTAAGAGTATGACATTAAAGATAAAATCATCAGATTTCTGTCTTGTGGATCTGTATGAACCTCTGATTTTAACAAAAAGGCTGCCGACATTTTTAGGATTTACATTGTCATTTTAAAATTGTATAATAAAATCATATAACAAACAGACTGGGCCCTTAGGAAGGATGTTCTCCTGACTGACAAATAAGCTAAAGTACCTGCAGAAGTGTTTATATATGCATTCTGAGAAGAAAAACCTGAAAGCAAGTTTTAAAGCACGGTGATGGAAGGGTTATGCTTTGGGTTGGTTGCACATTAGGGGAATAGTGCTGAATTGTCCCGTCTTATAAGAGTACTTGAAGATATTTGTGTTTTAAAGCTAACAACATAAAAACATCTTTAGCCTTATATAATCTAAAAGTCATGAAGATGTCCACCATAGGTTGCATGCTGGCTGCTGGACCCTGGAAGTGAGGAAAGAACCCTTCCCAACATGGTGACCGTCTACTGTCCTGAAGAGTTGCCTCTGCTGGATGGTCTTGGGAATGCACACTCATTCTGTCCAAGAGTCAGAGCTGCCACCAAGAGTGTGCTCACACACGCTCTGATGAGCCATCTCTCAGGCCTGCTGGAGCAAGATGGCCTCCTGGGTATAAATATTGTCTCTCTAAAGCTGCTGGAGAAAGTGTGGAGTTCAGTGATGGCTTTAGTAACGTGATATAACTCTCTATCAGATATGTTTAGGAGAATAGAGATGCCCTCCCAGGTTTGTCTGGCTCTGCTGGAACTGAACGGAGTCGGCTTCAGTGTGGAGGAGTGTGAGAGACAAAAACACGTGATGCAGGCCAAACTGTCAGAGCTGGAGGCCGAGGCCTACAGCCTGGCTGGACACAGCTTCTCCCTAACAAGTGTTGATGATGTTGCACAGGTCCAACTCTTCCTCTTTCCCTCAGATATATATATATTTTTTTTATTCCATAATTTTAAATTAAAATATATGTTAGGTTTTCAGGACACGTGTGCTTATCTTGGTATTAAAGGTGCTGTTTTTGGAGCTGCATCTGCCTCCAAACGGCGACTTGGGTGGAACAAGAAATAAGAAGACTCTGGGTTACACCAGGCGGGGCGGCGGCAGAGTGCGACTGGGGAAGCAGTTCAGCACCACAAAGGTGAAGCCATTTAGCATTAAAAAAAGCAAGTTATATATATATCCCAAATCTCACAAAATCAGACTTAGAGGGATATTATTTAATGCAAAGTAGGGCTCAAACAATCTGATTAATCCTGATTGATCGATTTTCTTTCTATTCTTTCTTTTTTATTTAAAAATAAAAAAATCAGACATTGATACATTACGCCATAGTTAAAAACCTTAAATGAAAAGGAGCAGAGAGATGGATGATTGTTATTTTTCTGCCCCTTTTAAAACAATAATAAATAGCTAAATATATTAATGCAGTAACTTCATCTGACTTAAATATAGTTTGATTAAATTTTAAACCGTGTCTCAAACAACCAAGTTATTCCATAGTTTCATACTTAAAACATATAATGTAATACAATTTTAAAATTAAGAGACCTTGATTCTTTCATTTCTATGTTCCATAATTTTACACCATTTATGGAAATACTTTTTTTTTTGTTGCTCTGAATCTTTTTTTTTTTAAACCTCTATTCCTTTCAAAGTATAGCTACTATTATTGAAATAAATAATTTTGTAGCTGGTTAATCATTAAGTGGAATATAGAGACTCTAAAACATGCCTGTAGATCACAGAGCAACCTCTGGCAGCGAGATATTTAGACGTGAAATCCTTTCGTCTGCCTTTAACTTATATGATTCTGGATCAGAGTTCAGTGGAAATATTGAACATTTATTGCTATTTATCAGGTGTCTATTGCGATTATATACTGATGTTGATTTATTGCCCAGCCCTAAACCTAAAACATTAAACTTCCTTTCTCAGGATGTCCTGCAGAAACTTCGTCCCCTCCACCCTTTGCCAGGTGTAATCCTGGAGTGGCGGCGAATCACCAACGCATTGACTAAAGTGGTGTTCCCCCTGCAGAGGGAGAAGCAGTATCATCCGATACTGGATATGGACAGAATATACCCCATCGCACAGACCCACACAGCTACAGGTCAAAATCCAGATTTACCACACTTCTCTGTAAACAGTCTGTTTCTGAGTTACAGCTAATTTTAACTTACGGATTTTTAGGTAGAGTGAGCTTCACAGAGCCGAACATCCAGAACGTTCCCAAAGATTTTGAGATTTCCATGCCTACAGTGGTAGGAGAGAGCCCTCCTTCACAAAATGGATTCCAGAAAGCTAACAAACCAGGGTAGGTGTACTCTCAGTTTGAGATTTGCATTTGCAGTGATCTGCTTCTTTTTCACATTATGTCACAATATAACATAAAACACAATGTACTGATAGACATTAGTCAACAAAGACTGGCTCACATATATAATCAACCAGCTGTCCTCTAAAACCCTTAAATAAAAATCATCCATTGGTAGATTGTTTACATGTGTATATATAACATAAAGTTATGGAACATCATGTTTTTAATTTGCCATTAGTCATGTGGGGTTTAACTGCAACAAGCTGCTCTGCTTTGTGGTCTGAACTTCCTCTGCATATCACCTTCAGCCAGAGGTGGGTAGAGTACCAGAAAATTGCACTTTGGAGTAGCACTTTATATTTTTACTCATGTAAAATTTAAAAAGTAGCATTTAAATAAATCACTCAAGAGTAAAAAATGTATTTGGTAAAAAAAGATAAAAAAGGCTAATCAAGAACTGAGTAACTGATCTACTTACTACCAATGATCATTACAACAGATTTAATGTTTAACAAATTTATGTAAAATATTTAGTGATATGCAATTTCTGGTGGTTCAAAGAAGAAAATGAACTTTTGCGTTTAACAACTCAATCAATAGTTACAGTATTTTTGAGGAGGTTAAATTACAGTTTACTGTTTCCTATAGCTTTATCCAACCTCCAAATGACACTGCAGACTCAGCAGATTGAAAACAACCACATAACAGGCTTTAATTGGAAGGCAACTAGACTTTTGCTTAGTTTTTCTGAAGATGTTTTAACACCGATCCAGAATTCTTGGATTGACTCAGACTCCTGTGTTGGTGCTGTCTGGGGCATATTTGCTTAAAACAAGTTTTTTATTAAGTGAATTTAAATAAAGGCTTTTTAACTTTTTTAACTTGAACTTATTAAGTGAATTTAATCACAATGGATGCAGTAGCCAGAACTTACTGAAGTAAGAGTAGAACCATGCTGTAAAACTACTCCTAAAAGGACATTTTTCACTAAGTTATTTAGGTAAATGAATAACTATGTAAATGTAACTTTTTACTACCCACTTCTGCATTGAGTACACCATCCTATGGTGAAACATGGTGGTGGCAGCAATATGGTGTGGGGTGGGCATTTTTCTTTAGCTCCACCCACGTACTCTCCCATACTAACCCATCTCTGCTAAACACAGAGTGAAGAAAAGCTGTTAAGATGCTGCACAGCCAGAGTGAACATAAAAAAGTTTGGAACATGAATCTTTAACCCTGGTCCAGCATGTTTTAGTGTTCTCTGCCTCGACAGATTTGATTTCGATAAATACTTGTTTAACAGCCTCTGTAGCCTCCAATGGCCTTTAAGGAAGGAATGCAATCTATGTGATTCGGATGTAGAGCAGAGACACATCTTTTTTTACAGTTTTAATGTTGATCTTTGGATAATATTGAGTTCAAAACGACTTCTTCCGATCATCAAAAATCATCCTCAGTTTTTTGTTTTATTGTTTGTTCGTCATGAAAAATAGAAAAATAAAGAAAAAAGAAGAAGAAAAAAAAACACCTATCTGAGGACCAGTTAAAGACCCCTGGTTTAGGTCAATGCATTTATATGTGTAGCATGGCCTAGTCAAAGCCTAAACCCTGATACATTTGAAGCCAGCACTGCCCATCCAAGTCCATCTTGGTTTCTTTGGGAAATAAATCTCTCTTTTTGGGTATATTTAAAACAATTTCACTCCTTATGTTTAATTTACTCAGCGAAGTCCAGTGTTTTTCTTTCTTTTTTAAATTGGAAACTGTCTCAGGTAAATAAGAATTTAATTATCCTACATGTGAAACAGCTTCCTGATAATTTTGACGTCTCACAGGAAGGATTGATCCGTTTCATCTGACTTAAAGTGTGATAGAAAGATGGTTGAAATAGAGCAGAACTGAGTGGCTGTGACTGATTGTCTGTTACACTGTTGTTGCAGAAAGAGGAGGAACTCGATGGTTCCACGTCCCACAGCTGCATCTGCAGAGCAAGGCCCAGCCTTCTCCGTCAGCATGAGACATGCATTTATTCCTTTTTCAGGTTCATATCATAGTACTGTTTTGACTTTTTTTTGTTTGTTGTTGTTGTTGTTGTAAGAAATGTCCCCAGTATTTTGTTTCAAACCTAATCATCCATGTTTTCCCATATTGATCTCTAGGTGGGATGATACTGGCGGCTGATTACTCTCAGCTGGAACTGAGAGTGCTGGCTCACCTTTCTAAAGACCAGCGCCTCCTGCAGGTCAGCAGTGTTGCAAAACAATCTGGTAAACACATTTGTTAACAAAAATGACTTGCTGACACTCTGTACTAGGTACTGAATGGGGGAGCTGATGTGTTTCGCTGCATTGCTGCTGAGTGGAAAAGTGTGGACCCGGAGTCTGTGCAGGACAGCCTCAGACAACAGGCCAAACAGGTCTAGATGGGGTGGACAGCACATTTCAACATGAGGTTTTATTTTAGTGACCTTTCCTGGGTGTAATATTTTTCTTTTCTGTCTTTGTGGACAGATTTGCTACGGGATCATCTATGGAATGGGAGCAAAATCACTTGGGGAACAAATGGGAGTGGAAGAGAACGATGCAGCCTGTTACATCGAGAGTTTCAAAGCAAGATACAAAGGTATCCATCCGCAATACTCCTGAGATTCAGAAAACAAAGACCCACAAAATTATCAGCCCCTTACCTCTACTTCGATATATGTTGGTAATAACCACCTTCTAGTACTACTCAATGAACAGGAGTTCATTTGATTTCTCTAATGCTTGACATAAAAACTGAAGTGACTGCAAAAAACAGTATTTTTTTTAGAGCAGTATATTTATTCTCCCTGCATTGTGCGTGACCCAATTTTGTCTGAGTTTTACACATCTGGATGTAAAATTGAGGTGAAGTTTTATTATTCAGTCCACACTGTGTTTCAGCTGGACCTTTAGGAGCAAATCAGACCCAAATGATGCTGCTACCACGCCTGGTAGTTTTCTTTTCCGAAAGCCTGGACTCCACTCCTTCTGATCTTTTTTTTTTTATTAAATTAAGGCTAAATATTCTGTTATGCTTGAGTTTAAAATCACTGTGCTCACCTAACTTCTAGTTTTAAAGATCAGTGAAGGGATGATGATGGAAACTGAAAGCCCAGAGTCCTTACTTTGATCTGCTAGAGAATCTGTGGCTGGAGCTAAAGCTTAGGTTGATGGAAAAGAGACTCGGAGACCATCTTTAAATTCTCTGAATGCTGTTAGAAAAATGCAGAAAGCTAGTCAGCAATTATTAGAAGGATTTGTTTGATTAAAGGAAATTGAAATATAAAACTGGTTAATCTTAATTCTACAATAGCGGCTAAAATTCAGTCAAAATGCCATCAGATGCAGTTCTATTCAAATGCTGTCACCTTTCAGGGATCAACGCTTTTCTTAAACAGACGGTGAAGAAGTGTTTAAAGGATGGCTATGTTCAGACGCTGATGGGCCGAAGGAGATATTTAGCCGGGATCACCAGCACCAATCCACACATCAAAGCTCATGTGAGCAAGCTTGGCAAACCCAAGTTTAACTTTAGGTTAAAATGCAGAACTGCCTTCTCATCCTCCACTGACCTTTCAGGCAGAACGACAGGCAGTAAATACAACGGTTCAGGGATCAGCGGCAGACATCGTCAAACTGGCTACAGTCAACATCCAGAAACGGTTACGAAAGACTTTTCCTGCAGCACCGCTGTCTCACCAACATGCAAACCCAGGTGAGCTCAATGGGATTTGTTTTGTTTTTTTGTCTAAACACATACTGATTTCCATTTAACACTTTTATAACCCCTCTCTCCTATGAAGCTCCTAATAAGCGCAGAATTGGGTTGTCTTGGCTTCGAGGAGCCTACTTGGTCCTACAGCTGCATGATGAGCTCATTTATGAAACCACAGAACAGGATCTCATACAGGTATACAGAGCACTGTTTGGGTCATCGGGTTAAAATCGCAGAAAGATGCTAATACTTTAATGTCTATTTTTTTCCCACTGTCAGGTTGCACAGATAGTAAAGAGGGAGATGGAATCAGCAGTCAAACTGTATGTGAAGCTAAAAGCTAAAGTTAAAGTTGGACCCAGCTGGGGAAACCTGCAAGACCTCGATATATGAATTGACTGATCAATCAACCAGACTTTAAATGCTGCTATGTATCAAAGTTTTGCACAGATTTTTAAACACTACACGGACAATGAGATGTGACAGCTATGATTTAGTTCATATTTATTTATTTTATGATCAACATGAGCTTTGTCCTTGTACTGTGTATACAGATTTATTTAATAAATAGCTTCCTCTGATGATTCATAAACCAGTCCCCGACATGCCCCAGTAATGTAGCCGTATATACATAGAAAAACTTGATTTTTTTCCAACTTTATCTGTTGAAATCTATTAGATTGATGCAGCAGTGCTGCTTATCTTGTAATTCCTTCATTTTTGGATAAAAGACATCACCCGCCTATGAAATAACCAAGATTAATATTGTAAAGAAAAGCCTCATCAGTGAATCTGTATCTATCATTGATATGTAATAAATGGAAAAAAGTTTGCTTTTTATGATTGAGATAATAACTCAACAGATTCATTTTTGATTGTTTCCTGAAGTCACATTTTTATTGGACCATAGTCTGAGCCGGCTCCCACAAGAACATACATCTTTTTTGTTTATAAACAAAAAACAGATTTTTTTTTCAGACATTTACAAGTCTGAAAGACATTCGCTCATTAAAGAAAACTTAAAAATGGATGAAAATGTATTTTTAGGCTGCATTTTTCATTAAAAGCAAGGGAGTGTTTCTATGTTTGATAAAGAGCATGACAGCATCTGATATTCACTATTAGGACTTTGTCAATGTAGTCAATAGCAAAAAAACTAGGAGCTACATTTAGGTGGAACCAGCTCCTAACATCAGTTAGGTTAAATACTTTTGTGGCATTTCAATGACAAAGCACATCAAGGTGAGGAGGATTTTTATTGTTCTTAAACTTTGCTGTGATATCATCTGCTTTTATGAAGCAACAATACCAGAAAAGGAACAATCATCTAGATGGAAACCTATAATCAGCATCTTTGGTCATTTTGTCACTGGCCTATTGGACCCTTTTAACTATGGAGCAGCATGATCTCTTCCTATGAACAAAAAAAAAAAAGACTGAAAGATGATTTATAAAGAATGGGATGATGTGTTGACTCAAATCGCAAAAGGTAAGTATTTACTCTGCCTATAACCAAACCTTTGCTCATTTCTAGATCCAGGCAGATCAAGAAATTGGTCAAAACAAAAAGATTTAAGGCATCAGCACAGGCAGAGCTGTGCGTTTGAGTAAAAACCGGAATATATGTACAGAGAGGTACAGTATTGAGTGCTACTTAAGCAGCTTTGACGTCCTCTGGCCATTTGAAGCATGTCTGCTTTTCTTCCTCCATGAAGCTCTGAGATGAGGGGGGGTGCCGGGGATGGGAGCTTTGTCGCATTCAAATTAAAGAAGCTTGCAGGGAGAACTCTTGTCCCCAAAGGCTCCTGTTCCTGATGGGGGGAGTGGAGTACAACAGAGTGCTTTAATTAAGAGAGATAAGGACACAGTAGGTTTTTGAGGGCGACATCTCTGGAGCTGTCAGGGCGCCTTGCTGTCCGGGCTGAAGTAGTATCTGACAGGAGGACCTGGGAGGTCCTCGTCTCCATCCGACTCTGGAGCAAATGACACGGTGAGGTCCACATAGTGCCGGGCTGCCGATGGCTTGATAAGCTTTTGCATCCTGTGGGAAAAGCAGGTTAAATGCATCCGTTAATAAAATGGAGACTGGAGAATAAAAATGTTTTAGGATGGAAGATCTTACGTCAATTTCAGTCTTTTAGAATGTCCTGGCATCACAGGCACATAGAGCATCTTTACGCCGTGGACAACCATGCTCGGTTCGATCCCGTACTTTTCCTGCACAAACATATTAAATCAGCAAATATAACTATAGGGGGAATATTCAGTCATTGCAACATTACAGTTGGACTCTTTGCACTTGAGAAGTGATCAACTGGTTCATTAAATGCATGAAAACCAATTGTATTTTTAGTTTATAAATGCTTCACCCAACAGCTTGTTTTGTGATGCGCTTTTGGATTTCAATAAACCAAATACAGTTCTTTTAAACAGATTCTTTAATGCCTAAACAATGATAATCTCATAATACTCATATCTGATCTGTGATTCTAACCCCTCACCCTGTTTTTCTTTTTATAAACCCGTTGATGAATAGAAAATAAAAATCATCGTAGAAATGAAAGTCTCACCCTCACTGCATTCATGAAGTCAGACAGAGTGAAGTCCTCGTGACCGAAGATAGTCCAACAGTCCCAAATGGAAAAGTAGATATTGTTCCTGGAAAAGATGCTACATTAATGCCTTCTAAAAATAAAAAAATAAACTCTTGGAGTGAGATATATTAAAAGGTCAAACATTTGTTGTGATTAACTTAAGGTGGAAGTATGCTGGTGCTTCTACCTGATGGGCGTCCTTTTAACCGGGGCGGGCTCAGTGAGCACCACTACTGGAATGGCCATGTTGAAGAAGCAGTTTTTGAACGATTCAAATTCATAGCCACCGACCACCTTGATCAACTCCAGCGCCACCTAAATAATTAAAAGCAGTACTCCAAATGTTAGCATTCAACACAGATCAAAGGGAATCCTTTAGATATAGAGACGTTTATTTATCAAGAGGCCAAGAACGGGAGAATGAATTACTGGAGACTGGACTAACTCAATGTGATGAATGAAGTCTGTTGTGCTGCTGCTTAGTTGGACATAAAACCAGCAGCCGCATGGCCCTTTCTGGAAATCAGTTCGACCCTCCCTAGACTGGAAGCACAAAGCTGGTAGAGAAACTCCCAAAACGATGATTACAGCTAAAAGTTGATACTCTTTACTTTTAGCACATTTTAATCTTAAAACCTTGAACTTTAATCAAAGTTCCACCACAACAATCCCGCCCCCTTGTTTAACGACCAATCACATTCACTTTATTCACTCGTGTAAAACCGTGCACCACTCGGGAATATTCAGAAAGGCGACGTTTGGAACAGCTGTTTCCCTACGGCTTTAAAATTTCAAAACCTGCCAGAAAAATATGTTGGATTTTATTATTTAGGTGCCTGCAGTTTGGATTACATAGATGAGAAACGCCTTCCAGCTGCCGGGAACAGTAGCGGAAACCCCCGAAGAGGCGACCGGGCCAGAGGCTGCTGTTGAACGAAATTCCCAATGACAGCGCACCGCCGGTCTGTTAGGCTCTCAGCGGCTCCAACAGCGAAATAATATTTTATGGCAGGATCATAATCTTGATTAACTGACAGCACAGACAAAGATTTGAGGTGGACTTTCTCACTTAAAAACATTAAAACTTCTTTTTATCCATTTATAACAGCAAATATAGCAAAGCCGCTCTCTGCCATTGAACACAGGAGCAGCAGAAGCATCAGCTGCAACTGTACACACTTCCGTAGCATCAAACTGCTGTTGACGTGCATCTGACCTTAATGTGGAAAAGCATAAAAGATGAAGCAGCAGAAGCTTTTTTTGCTGCTTCCAGCGCTTGCGGTCTGAAAATAGCATCAGGCATCATATTAAATTAATAAAAACAAAACAACAATGTATTAATTCCCTAAAAGTAAAAAAAAAAAAAAATCCACTGGACTTGGTTTCCAAGATTTGAAGACGTTTCGCCACCTCTCCAGGAAGCTTCCTGGAGAGGTGGCGAAACTATGACCTGGATGACTGAGAATCTTCATCAGCAAAACAACAGTGTAATTTGGTTTCCTAATAAAAACATAAAAATCTCCCAACATAATGTGTTAGATGGCTGTTCTTACCAGTCCGGCCACAGCAGCCGTTGCCGTAGCGATAGCGGGGATGATCTTCCCAGCGATGCGTTTGGTCTTCAGCCTGTCCGCTGGCTCGATGGAGTACATCCTGGCTCGGATGGACGACGCTGACGTGACAAAATCAATGTGACCGTTGCTGTCGTCGTCTTTTTCAAACTGAAGGGGCCTCATCTGTAAACCCTCTGCACATCAAAAAGCCCCGTTATAAAGACTGATCGCTTCAAATATAATTTGAGAAAGCCGGCTTTTGAATTGTACATGAGTTCACTTCAGGATGTCTGCGCTACCTGGTGTGACCTTGTTATCAACGATTGCCTGCTCAAGTTGTGCGATGGCTTCCCTCTCCTCTTCACTGCTCAGAGGCATCTTAATGGCGTCTGGCTTCCTTGCCGTCTCATCCGTCTCTATACACTAGAACCAGCAGATCAAAATAAAACCAGCATTATTTTTTCTCAAGGTGACAAAGATCAATAAATACAGACAGGCAAATGAGCAGCGGAACCTACTTTTTCTGAGGGTCTGTATTCAGGAATCTTGACATCAGAAAGAATCCTGGCCACAGCGTCTTCAGAAAGATCCTGATGAAAAAAAACATCCAGCCAGTCAGTGATTCAATATTTAATAGACAATATCAGCTCAGCTGTGTGTATGACCTACTTTTTCTGAGAAGGCAATATTATAAACCTCTGCATAGAGCCGTGCTGTGCTGACAATGAAAGTGAAGTGCCTGATTTAAAAAAAACAATAACAAAAGGGTTAGAATTGGAGGACAGGAATTAGACTATTTATAAAATACAAAACTCTACCCACAATGGGTCTTTCAAGTCAAAATCAATTGGTGCTGGGGGTCTTTTCGGGGACTGCCAAAATAAACCTTTAAAAAACACAAAGTTTGAGACGTGTTACTTTGTGGATAATTATAATGATCTCATAAATTAGACACAAAGTAACAAATGAACTCACTCCCATCTTTTAACCTGGTTTCCAGAGGGAATGAGTGCAACAGCTGCAGGGCCTAAATAGTGAGCAGAACAGATGTGATGTAAATACTTCCACATTTAATCTTTTTAGCCTTATTCTTATGCATCTAAAGGTTGAGACCCGATACCTTTCTTTTGAAATACTTTTCAAACTTCAGACGGGCGATGGTGACGCACTGCTTCCACTGACTCGGCCGTCTGCTCAGCAGCTTAATGACCTGAAAGGATCCCTCCAGACTTTCCCCTGCTTGCATCCTCTACAGACAGAGCAGACATTATCACAGAGATGCCAAATGAGCAAGAGGGGAAATAAACGAAAAAGAGTAACAAATCTTACCTGCAGCACGACGTCGACTGAAGGGTGGGTCTGCCAGAATGAGTTGTAGATGGAAGGCTTATGGAAAAAGGAGCTTTCAAACTAGATAACCAAAGCAAAAAGAAAAGCATTAGAAAATACTCCATATAGGGACATCATTCTCAAATCGACTGCAGCGAGACCTTATCTCTGGCCCACTGGATGGTGTGCTCTATAACCGAAGGGAAAGACTTGAGAGTGCAGAATGGGATCTCCTCCTCAGGGGGGTCCCTCTGGGGGGGGGATAAACGACACAGAGCTCAGGATAGGAAG